CCCCCTCTGTTTGCCAGATCACAGGCATGGTTCTCGTTCTAAAGCACTATCGTTAGTATAAAGGACAAAACATTCGGTGACTCCCCTCCCCCACCCCCACCCCCACCGCCAAAGCTACCTAAGCTAAATCTAGAACGTCGTTAAGTTTTTTTTTTTCTTCCTGAAAAAAAGGCAAAAAAGACTTTACATTGCATCATACAGCAGATATCCTAAACTGGTCAAAACTAGCAGAAGAAACTGTCGGTGTGCAGCCTTACAAATGGTTTACCCTATTAAAAGTCCCCCCCGTCAGAAAATGTGTTTCACACGAGACAGTTCTCCCTTCTTGCACTCTGCTACCTTATACACTGTTACGTGAAAAAAAAAATCATTAAAAACACCTACTACATATTTAAAAAAGCCAAAATTTCAGCAACTTTTATTGACTACCTTTTAAAAGCCCTATGCTGCAGTTTTTTTTTTTTTACAAGGCGTACTAGACCAGCCCATTTGGTCAAAGCATTCTACACCATTAGTTTGAACTAACTTTACTGAAACAGCTACAGCATCAAAAGAGTTAAGGCAAATTGGAATTCATAGAAAAGGATAAGACACGTCACACTACGTCGAAAGAAAAAAAAATGGAAAGCTAAGGAGAGACATCGAGGGCGACACCGAGTCACAGCGACACACGCACCGCAAGCACAGAACACCATGGGCGCAGTGAGACAATCGGAACTTCAGAAGCCCATTTCATACAGCCGAAAAAAAAAAAGACAAATTAAACACAAAATGAACAAAACCACAAAAATCCGGTCATGCACTTGGATAAGTCTTCGTGGTCTTTGTGCATACCCAGAAAATTGAAGTTTTCGTTTTCTCTCTCTTTTTTTTTTCTTTTTTGCATCATTATATTTGATAAAAATCTTTGATTTTTTTTGTTTTTTTTTTTTTGTTTTTGTTTTTGTTTTTTACTAAAATAAACCTGTTCAGGGGAACAGCTACTAGATGAATTTAAGGGTTTTATGCACCTTATAGAACTTATAGCAAAAATAGTTTTAGTTGATTTCATTATAAATAACGTTTTCAAGAACCTGTGCAAAACTGTCAATAATTTCCTAAAGCACAATTGATCAGAAAAATCCATGATTGTTCAGCCTTCACACCCTTCTTCATGTAAGAACTCCCTTCGGTATATCTGCAAGAGAAAGATAAAAGACCCATGTCTTTGCTGACATAACAAACACGCCACAGGGCTTCATCAGCTTTCATTTGAAAGAGATTAAATGTTTGAACAAGACTGCGCTCATCCATGGTGAGACCAAGGGACATAAGCTGGGGGTCTGAGGGTCACTTTCAACTCCTGGAGTCCCCCTTTCAAGTTTGGGACTTGCAGGATACTTTCTTCTCTAAGGCAGCCAGGGCCAACTCCGCACAGCTTTCACTGGTGTGAGATCAACAACACATATTGTTACAAGACAGCCCAGAGAGCGGATCCCACATAGAGTTGCTTTTCTGAAATACATGTGGTAAAGTGAAGTTGGAAATCTGTGACCCCACTGAGAGCTGGTAATAGGACCTCTAGTTCTGAGGATACCAGCAATCTGAATTCCTAGTCAAGGTGTGGATGACCTTGTGAGACTCGATTAAGCAACGTCTTATGCTGTATCTCCTTAGTGAGTATTTAAGGGATATAAACAGGATGCTTCTCTTATAGGATGATTTTGGAAATTAATGTTCTATGATGCTTTATATATTATGACTTTGGGGTAGAGGAAATACAGATTTGATTTCAATATAAAGCATTGGTCCTTATCCAGACAGAGTCTGTAAATTCATAAACACGTTAAATCTGCGTTTTTCTAGGCATCATTTGATAAAAGTACCCCTGACTGCTTCCTAGGAGCCCTACAGTTAGGTAGCCCTTTCCCTCATACCTCACAGTTACTTATTGTGTTGAAAGGTATATGGAGAATGGTCATTGGATGCCTCCACAGCCACCTGCTGCTGGCTACTTGCTTCCTACAACAAAGCAGAACGCATGAGAACGCATGGGACTGTGACTCGGCTGCCGCGGCCCGAGTCCAAGGACATGCACCTTATTACAAACACTCTTCAAAGTGAATTTCTTCAAGTCAAACAGAGCTTCTAAGGCTAATCATTACCCTAATGCTCTGAAATATGACAAAGCCCAAGAACCTCCCGTCTAAATGTTTAACGTAAATATTGATCAAAGAAATTTCTTGGCTCCGTCTCCTGGGAGCTAGATATAGTTTATAATTCAGTATTCTCAGATTTTTAGAGTCTGAGACACAGTGTGCAAATGTTGCACGTCACAGCCTTCTCCCCCCCACCCCCGTCCCCAAGCCATCCACCACACCTCACAATCAAACTTTCCCATATTTATATGCTAGAAAGTGTGACTCAGCTCAGTACATGGAAGCAGGGCCTGTAACCTCAGCTACTGGAGAGGGGAAGCAGAGGGCGCACGTTCACAGCCTGCCTGGCTTACAGAACGAGGTCCCGATTTTAAAAGGGACTTGGACATAGCTCAACAGCAGAACATTTGCCTGGCATGAGAGAGGTCCTGGTTGTACCTCTCCTAAAATAAGAATAAATCAGCAATAAAACAGAAAGCCAGAGTAGTCTGGATATTTTTGTCTTGTCTCAGTTCACACCGTCTGTGTCTGAAAGATGATCAGGCCTTGCTGAAATAGTTACAGGGCACATTTTTGTTTTCCATTGTTACATGTTATGGAGAACTGCATATAAAAATCCATGGGTTCAGGCACTCGTGACTCTTCAAAGATGTATGATCATGTAAATGCTACAACCATAGTTCTCAAGAACCTTTGGGATCTGCTGAGTGGGTATGATAACAGGACTGATAAACTTCCTTGGATTCTTGAGAATACTCTGCAAGACAATCCTATGCTTCCTGTCCATTCATAATTCAACGCCAGTCTTCTACAAATGCAATATATTCCAAGCTAATAACCCAGAGCAGTTAGCTATTAAAAAAAAAAAAAAAGGGAGGGTTGCTTCTCATGCTTGTTGTCACTTAGAGACACCAGGTTTTCTTTTTTCCATCATCTGACTTATGGCCAGTGTCTTTCTGTGAGTCTTCCCATTGGTTCAATCTTTAGGACTAGAATTACAAACTCCAATTTTATCTTAATGTGTCTGTACGTATCATTTGGGGGGTAACAAGACAAAGTCTTGAAGCCTATGACATGTGCTATGAGACTGCAAAGTTATTTGGGGGAAGTATGGGCTACAATGTATCTGGATGTTGCCATACTAATTTGCATAAGGAGTATTTTACAGTTGGAAAATAATACTACGTGTATACTCTTTCTAGACTCACATCTTTAGCTATACAGCCGAAGCTGGCCTGAACTCTTGGATGCTCTTGCCTCAGCTTCTCTGGTGCTGGGAATAACAGGCATGTTCTATTATGCCTTGATAAAATAGTTGACTCCTGATAGGTTTTTGTTGTTGTTGTTGTTCTGTTTCAATGAGTCAGATGTAAAACTACCCATTGCCGCAATGGCCGCTCAGACGCTCTATACGAACCTCAACGGGAACTGCCGCCGTCTGCATGTGTGTATACTGTGGCAAATAGGCTCCTTGCATGGCTGACGTCGCAGGCATGTACTGGAAAGGAGAAGGTGATCAGGGTGTGCAGCAGCAAGCCATGCAACATTCAGATTTCTGGGTGGCAGGGGTCGGGGTCTGAGCTGGCTGAAGAGTACTTGAAAGTCGCAGAGAATAAATTTATATGGGTTCCCCTCAAAGCTTAATTAGTGCACATGACTATGTCATTGGAAGGTCAAATAAAAAATGCCATGTTTCTTTGAATCTACCAAAAAAAAAAAACACTAAAAACCTGCCCATGTGAAGGCCATTAATACTTCTCATCTACAGTAATTCAGTATCATCAGGGTGTCATAAAGATCTCTCAAGAGGCCACGCTATTTTTTGGTCACCCCCTGAGTTGATGCCTCATACTATCTGTGTAGGGAGACTTGAAGAGACTGTGAGCAGGCCCCTGAAGATGTGGCCAGGGAGCCCCACTTGGTCTCATTCAGCACTCTCATTTCCTAAAGCCAGGCAGCCTATTTCTGGGCTGCGTATTGTCCTGGATTCACTTTCATGAGAAGCTGTTGCTGGTTTGCAGAACAGGAGGGAAAACACAGTGCCCTTTGCCCCCTTCAGCCGCCACAAACGCAGGCTGAGCTGAACGCCGCTGTCCATCTTTTACAGTTGGCCTAGTGCTGATTCTGCCTTCTAAGCCGGCAGGTTCCTGGGGGTGTAAGAAAGCACGTCTTTAAAAAACCTGCAATTCAGCGCTGCAACACTGCATGGAAGAACAAATGGGGCACTGCGCATCCTCTGCGACCTGTGCATCTTCCCCTCTGTGACCTGTCTCTTGGAACGTGTAAAAGCTAGACATGGGCGTGCGTGGGTGCTAGGTGGGTGAGGGAGCCGTATCCACAGATGAGCTTACAGGTCATCAACTCATCAAGAATAATGTGAGTTCTATCTGACTTTGTGGGAGGCAATGCCAGATAGGGCAGGGGGCTGGACACAATCTTTGTCACCCCCACCCCTCCCAAGCCTATACTTTCATTAGGGAAGACGCAAACTTCCTTAAATTCACTTTCTTCCATTTGCAAAAGCACAGGGTATTAATCTGCCACCTACTGTTCCGGTGCTGCCTAGTGACAGATGACTCATTTGCTGGGCCAGAGGGCTGATCATAGAAGCTGGCTGTAGTGACATGGTGTGTTCCATTGAGGGAGTTAACACGGCACCCTGGGAAGGGGAGAAGAGATAGAAATTGAGGGAGAATTAAGATTCTGCAGCTAAAATTTGCAAAGGAAAACCCTGTGTTGAGGCAAACATAACCTCCTTCAAACTTACAAGAGGTACCCTGAACAGCTACCCCAAATCTCCCAGATTGCTTTCCTGAAACTTTCACCAAGCCTTGAGAGGAAGCAGCGGTGCTATTTCATCCCACTGAAATCCTGTGTTCTGCCTGCCCTAACTGAAAAGCCAGACAGGCCAGCAGAAAGGGCTGTGGCATCAAATAGACTGAGGACAACTGCTTTCCAGGGCTGCCAGATGTTGGGGATGGGGAGAAACCGCTTTTGCTTTCTACAGCCCCCCCCCCCCCCCCCCAAAAAAAACAAACAACAGCAGCAGCAGCAGATAGGTGGTCAATATAGCAGCTTGTTTAAATGTTTTGTACGTAGTCATCTGGTTCGAGATTAAGTAGGTAGGACCATTTTCATTCTGGGTTCTTCATTTCTGAGTATTTTTCAGAACTTCCTGTCCCATGCCTGGGAAGCCAATCTTGGTAATTCCACTCCAGTTCCATGCTCACTTTTTTTTGCTTGGAAATTTTGCTTGGATTTTTTTTTTTTTTGCCATCAACAATTCAATTAAATGTATATAAGAAAACAGGAAAGGAAAAAAGATCACTCCTATGATCTTTCTAACAGAACCAGCATTAGCAGTATCTAACTGGAAGCTAGATTTTGCATCAGAGAACACGAATAATTGCCTACTTTGAGGTCTTATAACTTAGTTTTTCTACTGGAAATGGTAACTGCCTTGCTGCCATCGATCCTAATGGCTAGATGATGCCACAGTGATGCTATAGCAACCACAATGGAATTGTTCGGACCTTTGTCTAAATTTCTCTACATAATCGGTGGATTTCTATCATTCTTCTCATTTTTGCAATCATCTGTTATAGCGCACTAGTATTCTGTTTTACTCCATAATTATGAACACGTATGTGGTTTGAGATCACTGTAGCTGGTTGCCCTGAAACACACTGGCGTTTACTAATGATCAGATACCAGTTCAGGGCACAAGCAGGCGTTTCATACAGTTTTGAATCTGGGTGGAGAACAGTCACACAAGTCTCCTCAAAGAGTTCAATTAAAATATATGCAGTCCTTGTCTCTAAATTCATGAGAAAAAAAAAAGGATACGCTTCATTTTTAAGGCACAACATCAAAAAGCACAGAGCAACAAAAACGACGCAAAGTCTAGATGGTGGGGAATGGGTTTCCTGATCCTCCCTCCTCATCTACAGGCACCCCTACACACTAAGGGTCCCCCAAGTGCACGGACTTCCACCTTCTCCAATTATACCATCAGGTATTAGGACACACACTGCCATGGGAATGAGTAGCTGCACGTCATGAACAGGGGTGCAGGATGCGTAGATACTTGCGGATGTGTGTGTTTTGTGTGCAGAAGAACAGGTACAAAAGACACATTTTATGTGCATCTGAATGGTTGTGGCAGTATTTCTTGTTCATCATTTGGCTACTGACCGCTGCTATTTTTTACCTACATGGCCTCCCAGTATAGTGTTCACTATTGGAGACTCATGAGAGAAATTTCTGTCTCATTTTAAGGCCAAGAGTTGAGTTCTTTTCCTAAACAAATGATCTGGCTTTTGTGTTATAAATGTTGTCATGTCTCTTGCATATGAGAATGCCAAATTTGCACCGGTTAACTAGAAACTAAAGGGCCAATCCTGTAGCCTTTTTGTGGCAAGTGTGTGGGTCACCAAGGGCATTTTTAGTGATTTGTGAGTTGGTTCTACACACTTGTTTATAACTTTTGACCCTATGGATTTTATGTATGTATGAAAGGCATACAACTGTACAATAAGATCAAATATAATGTTTAAAAAATAATATACATTAGTATAACCAATGTTGAAATTTATGAAGAAATCATATTTGTTATTAACAAGGAACACACTGCTCTCTTAGGGCTTATCCTTTCTACAGATGGGCTAGGAGACACTGATGAAGAGCCCTTCCTGGACCTGAACTTTATATCTAACTCACAAAGAATGTAAAAAAAAAAGCCATTTCTTTCCATACATTGTAAAATATTTAGTTACTCAACTAATGGTATCCTACCAAACTGGCTTAGTAGAAGACCTTGCCTCAAATAGGGTATATTTTTAACTTCAAAAAAGGAAATTAATGTTTACCAATAATTCATTTTAAGATAAAACTGACTTAAAGTTTCATAATAAGCTGGCCCATTTTCATATTCTATGTTTGGGTTTTTCCACCCCCTTGTCCCCCATCTTTTGGTAGAGGGGTTTTAACTCAACAGGCTACATACCACAGATTACTTAGAGGATAGAAGGTCATTAGCACGAGACACTTACAGGATGCTGTAGGATGTAAGGTTGAGGTTGCATCCAAGAAGGACTTTGCACCTAGAAAAGGGAGGATTTTGAAAGAAACATTGATTTCTTCTGCGACAATAATCGAATTCTCTACAATTCTTTTTAATCGTGTTAAAAATCTACAGAAGGAAGATAAGGAGACAACACTATCAATTATTACAATGGTTAAGGCAGTTAGAGCTCCTGACCAACTGGTCACTCTAAATTGAAATGGAACGATCATTCAGAACCAATATCAGTTTGCCCACTCAGTATGGAGTTACTGAACATTAGGGGCCAAGGAGCAGAAGGCATGTATGGGCGTCACCCTTGAGAAAGACACTGTCTAAGGAAAGGAAATAAAAACGTACACAATCCAAATTAGTGACATGTTATAATCAAGATATGAACTACGTTTTAGGGATACTGATGAATGAGGATTAATCGTAGACGTTTCATTAGAAACTAACCCTCCAAGCACATACTATTTATGAAGAATAACCAAATGCAATCTCTTTGATAATGAGGGAAACAAGTTGAGGAATTGTGTGTAGTCCTCAACAATTTCTAGTTAGTGAGGAGAAGAATGTCTGAAATGCAGACCTAGGATATTAGATGGGAGGTAACCAGATCTTGACATCAATGGTTAAGTTAAAAAGGGCATCCACACAGCCACCTCCGAACTGAGAAAGCAGATGTGAGGGCCAGGTTTGTGGCAGGAAGGAAACGAACACCCTGCCCAGGAAGAGAGGAGGAAGTCTGCTTTCTCGATGCCCGTGGCTTTTCAAGGTCTACGGAACTGTCAGGAAACATTCCGTTTTCCAGGTCGCATCAGAACCCTCCTGCGTCCTGTCCCTGAGTGTTAACTTCAGAGATTCTACAGAGAGAACACGGGGAAGAGCCATGGGAGAGAATGGAGCGCCATTTACCTTGACAGCAGAGCCCCGATACTTGCTTTCTCTGGTTTCCTTTGCCACCTAAGGCAGACCAAAGTTAAGTGCTTCTGCCTTGTTAACATTGCAGTTATCTGGACTGCAGCCTTTCCCACTGGGGGACCGCGCCGCCTTCTCAAATCCAACTGCATAAGCACATGGCGGTTTAGTGGAGAAGGCCAACTCCAACGTGAGTGTGGGCCCTTTACAGACACAGCACGAGAGGCGAGCGGCTCCCGGAAAACCCCGATCTGGGCCTGATGTCCCCCACTTTTTTATGCTTCTATGGTCATAACTGCCTATGCACTCAAGAGTATTATAGGGTTAGGGAGCTGTGACATCTAATGCCATGTTTTTATCTCAGCAGCGAAAGCAGCCACTATCAGTTACTATTCCTCAATGCTCCCTAATTAAGAAATGGGAATAATAATCTATTATCTTTTTTCCATTGGTTCTTTGAAAACCTGAAATAAAAAGAACTCCATCCCAAACTAACTGTATACAAACAACATTGTTGCAAACATTTTAAAGGGACCTCGGATTACTTGGGAGCACATCCACCAACCTCTGCTGGGCACTTAACGATATAAGGATAGGCACCCATCATCTGAGAGGTTATGCTACACAGAGCGTCAGGCAAATGGAAAAAATTCTACATGGGTCTTACAAAAAAAAAATCACAGAATTCCCAAAAAAGGAAATGAGGCCTTGAAATGATAGGCTATCCGCAGCTAGCCGTATCCTGTTGGTTCCCAACACTGATCTGATTTTTTTTTTTATTCTATCAAACGACAGACAGGCAAACTGCTTTGAAGGGGAAATCAGTGGTAGAGAGATGGAGTAAGAGCTGAAAAGCCTATAGCAACATGATAATTGATAGTCATTTGTGCGCTTTAGAGTGAGCTCCCACGTGCCCTTATTTTTTAGCGATGCAGACATGACGGATCGCCATTTTCGGATCACCAGAGACGACATCTTAATGTTTGCTGTAAACGCTGCTTATGAAAGGAGATACGCTGTAGCCCCCCGCTCTCGCTGAGAGACAAGGAACAGACTGGCATCCGTGACTCCTCAGCAGCCGAAGAGACTTAAATAAGTGACTACCGCATCCAGATGACTGGCACATCAGAGGGAAGCAGTAACTCAGGGAGGATAAAGGAGAGAAAAGGTATGGAGATTGGGCGGGACGACCCTGAAGGCTAACAGTGGCAGACACCGTTGTGAGACTCTGTGTGAGACTCCGTTTCCGGTATACAGCCTTCTCTTCTCTTTATATATGTTATTTTCATAGATTTTTCCAGCAGAGCCAACTTTGATATTACCTTATACTGAGAATTACTGAAAAAGTGCTGAATACATTAATATGTATGATGCTGCCGCTGCTAGCTTACTGAATATTAATGCTATGCCAGTCCTAGGTGGAGCTCCTGATAATTTCATTTAGTGCTCAGAACTCTCTCAAGCTCGTAAGGGAGAAACTACGATTCCCATTTTAAAGATGAAGGAAACTGAGGCTTACGGCTATCAACCAGCACATCAGCTAGACCAGATGCTGTAGCCCCCTAACCCGAGACATCAGGACGACAACATCTAACTCAGTATCACAAACAAGAACAACCTAAGGTTTAGTCACACCGGATCCCAGCAGTCAACAGAAGGGAACTGCCCCCAGGTCAGTAATTGAACTCAGTAACAATGCTGACTGGACCCAGGCAATGCACCTGCTGCGGGAAGAGAAAGGCTCATGTGCCTCGCTACCCCGGAATACCATCAGATCAGTGTGGGACAGGGAGCTTATGAGGGCTCATTCCTCAGCTGGGAACACAGTTGAAGGTAAAGCCACCTCGCAAAAACGAGATGGGAGCTAATTAATGGCTTCTTCTTGGTGGGGGGGAAGGACCTCAAATCTCGAGATGATCCTGTGTTTGCAGTTTTAACTGTCCTTTTAAAAATCGCTTCCTGATAGTGAGTAAACAAAGACAGGAGCATGCATCCGCTCGCCAGTCTGTGACTCTCCTAAGTTTCTATTCCTGGGGACACACGATGGGGGAAGGACCCGGGTTCATCCCAATTCAAGAACCATGTGATGATCCCAAGCATTTCCCTGGCTTTCCACTCTCCTACACAGAGGAGCAAATCGCTCCACCAAATAGAAGGCAGCTTATTATAAACTAGGTGGCGAAGCTGCATAAAATTTGACTCAAAGATTTTATTTTGAAACTGTTCAGCATTTGAAGACACGTGAGAATGCAGCAGATACAAAGTGCGCTGCTGTCGGGCCCTGGAGTACAAACCTGGTAGGCAGACACAGGAGATGCAATATAAGGTGTAAGAGAAGTTTGACTGATCATTCGGTTTGTGGCAATACTGTATGGTGAAGTGTAAAATCTAGAACAAACACAAAAGCCTTTATTAAGTAATCCTTCCAAGGAATCATTCACGGAACAATGTCCGACACTTTTTCACCTTCACCGTCCCTCACGCCACGGCACATTGATCCTAGTGACATACCCGTTATGGAGAGCAGCCGTAGTTGGGTCATACGTGAGTGTCATTCCAGCCTAGAGGAAGCAGAAGGAAACGTGAAAATCTATCCAGAAAGGCACGATTTGGAAACTGTCTATCCGAGTCCCCGTAGCGTATGAGGGTAATAGTCACGTTGGATAAAATCGCGAGTTTCTGTTAGCCAAGCATGCTTACAAACTCTGAGAATTGAGCTCCGCGGTGCTGCCCCACACGGCAGCCATTACCACAAGGAGCTACTGAAAATTAAATAGAAAGCAATCCCTCCAGGAATAGAGCCAGACATCACATGCGCCGAGGGCCACACGCGGCTGTCACTGGACAGCACAGGTTCAAAACATTTTCTTCACACATTCTGGGGTCTTTATGATCTTTTTAAACATAAAAAACATTTATTGAGCTACAAGGAAGAGGGAAGCCCAATGCTGCATTAAGAAATTGAAGATCTTTTTTTTTGAAAGGATGCTTCAAAAGATTGTTTGCCTGTCTGTTTGCTTTTGAGAGAGAGAGAGAGAGAGAGAGAGAGAGAGAGACAGAGAGACAGAGACAGAGACAGAGACAGAGACACAGTGTGTAGAGGTAGGGAGAAGAAAGCATGATGAGAATACTGTGTATGACACAATATTTTTTCAGTAAGAAAACAACCCAAAATATAAAGGTCAATTAATTCTCGGTGACAAATATACTATTTATTTTAATGTTGAGGTCATTAAAGATTCCTGACTACGATGAATGAAAACCTACTGGGAAAGCTGAACCTCCACACTCAAACACCTTCATAGTCATCGTTTTTACAGAAGCGCAGTGTAGCTCTTCCCATCTCTACCTTCCTCCCAGGGAAGGCACGCTCAGTACTCTTGCACCAGAGACAGCTGAAGTCTGACAGCCTTTTTGTGACAAGGCACCGACAGGGTGGTTTAGTCTGGACTGTCTCAGAGGTGTGGCAGTCCAGTCAAGATGCCCCTGTAGGGCTGGCTTTCCATGAGTGTTCAGGATGGCACAGCCACACTCAAGTTTCAAGAAAGGACTTACAAGTCTCACCTCTCCTTCTCTGTGCCAGGGCCGCCCATTAGGGATGTACTTGTTTGGGTTCTGCCTCTTCTTCTGTCCTCCATCCGCAAACTTGCACAGTAACGGTTCTGTAGGAGCTGTGGACACAGGAAGCTGATGTGAGCGCACAATTCTAAGCATGTCTGACAACATGGACGGGGGTTTCTCTTTCAGTAGGAGAGCGATGTTGGTGCCAAGAAGGAACACTTTGAAGGCAAAATCTCAGGCCCTGCGACTCCACAGAGGTGGAGCAGCGCTGGCTGATGTCTCTAAACTGGAGAGTGATGGAGAAGCCACTTCTAAACACTGCAGCGCTGTGACTCTAACAACCCTGGGCCTTCTACAGTTCCACCACTGGACAGTCAGCAGACAGCCCCCCAAAGGGACCTGGAACACTCCCCCAGCTTCCCAGACAGCGCTCTGCTCCTGGCAGACGGTAAGCCCGTGTTATGTCAATCACACCATGCTTATGTTTACAGTTGTGTAGCTGTTGGTGAGTGTGATGACTGCCTGTCTTCCTCCCCGTCTGTTCCGTTATTACCATGTCCCCGGTGCCTACAGTATAGCCACACTGCAGGCATGGATAAATATGGGTGGGTCTCATTTGTACTAAAGAAAGCTTAGGGGCTGGAGAGATGATTCAGTGGTTAAGGACAGTTGCTGCTCTTGCAAAGAACCTGACTTTGGTTCCCAGCAGCACCTATCTGGCATCTTAAAACCACCTCTATGTAAATCCAGGTACAGGAGAGCCAATGCCCTTTTCTGGCCTGTGAGGACACACATATGTATGTGAGCACACGTATGTGCACATACCCATGAATGAAATATTGAAGTTACAAACACCTGCCCTTTGTACCGAAAGGTTCTGCCATTTCTCAAATCTTCCCATGGAGTTGTTTTCCCATCCATTCACCATGATCCAAAGAAACATCCAAGAAATGAACGCTCAAAAACAAAACACAAAATACTCTCACTGAAAATGAGAGGCAGGTGGCACAACAGGCCATCCACGGTTTCCCCTCCACCTTGCCTTTCTGTGACAGACAAACCAGTATGGTCCTGGAGTTGTGTGTTTTCCTGTATGTGTCTAGTTACTGCAATAAAGGCTCTCACACCTTCCTGTCTGGCTCCCACACTTAGTTCTTTGTCTCCTGGAGAACCACGGCTACTCCTTTCAAGTTCTCTTTCAAAGTTAAATAACCATGAAGAGAAAAACATCACTTGTGGGGAATTTGCTCCTTTTTACTTTGCCTCTCATTATCCTAATTCAGCTCTTATTTTATATCACTACTACCCACCCACTAATGACAGGGTAGGAGCAAGACTGTCTCTTCCACCTACAACACAACACATGCAACACAAGCTGTAACCCCTTCCCAGTGTCTGGCACTCTGCATGTGTCTGTCCCTGGGCTGCCCACTTCTAAGTGGATGCGTTATGGTGTGGATGTAAGTCATCTTCCCCTGGTGCAAGCTCAGCCTGCAATGTTCCAAGGTAGGGAGGGCCTGGCAGGAGGCCCTTAGGTCACTGGGGCCACATTGGGGCCACGTCCTCAGAAGTAGTGAGGGTGGCTCTCCTGAGATCTCAAGGTTTCCCAAGAGCGATTCCCACCCTTTTTCCTACTGCCACGTGGTCCTCACTGGAGTTGAGCTGGTGCTGACACCAGGCCCTGTAACTTTCTGAACTATGACCTAAATAAACCCCTTGTTTATAAAGGTAATGAAACAGGATGGGAAAGCTAATAATGAAACCGTTAGGTGTCTGATGAAGATCTTGTGTATGCTCTTATTTACCTCCTGATTCTAACTCCCCCACCCCAGACTTTCATGAATGAAGAATCCCATTTAAGGCAAACTGAGCATGAAGGAAAGATGGATGGGCAGAGGTCAAAGGTCCCCAATGTAAGTAAACTATACAACTTGTCCAACCAATACAAGGTTATGGTTTTTGGGAAATTCTGCCTAATAGCCACAGAAGGTAAACACTTTCACACAATGGATCAGGACAACTTTGTAATAATGACCAATGGTCCTTCAGACTCCACAACTGGACTAGCATGGGACAGATGGTAACCCAGGCTGAGAATAAGGCATCCTAGCAAAAGCAGCAGATAGAAGACACGCCCTCCTGAGAGGAGGGACTTACCACATATGATGTTCCCTTAAGTTACCCGCTTTTGTAGGCAATCAGAAAGTGGCTTCTTAAACTTCAATACTAAAGTCAGCCTTTCTTAGGTCCCTACGTGAGGGACCTTGTGTGCAGTACCAGAAGGGGCTGTGGTGGTGCAAGCTGGTCCAGCTGATGACTAAGGACAAAACAAGAGCTCAGCTGAGACAAGCTAAATCCACTGTGCAGAGCCCACTGCTGCTCCAGGTTGGAAGACTGAGTTTTATATGCTCCCCTAGGGTCAGGGCAAGCAGGAGGTAACCTGAGGGGCTGGACCTTTGTCCGTGCTCACAGTGAGGAGGCTTTAGAAAAACCAACTCTGGGTTTACTTGGTTTGTTAGAAATGCAAACTAGTTTCTTGCATTAGCATAAAATTCTCACACAGAGCTAAGGCAACCAGGTGGGGCTCACTCTAAGGTGCATCTCCAGGTAAGTGGCTAAGCAGCAAGACCCTTAACATATGCTTAGTGACCAATGCGCTATCTGGGGGTAACGTGATTCCCAGGCATGTTTATTTATCTGGATTCTGCCCGGTCAGAAAGAAACCCTAGGCGCCAGCAACCATATGGTGTGGAGGTGAAGGTCCGGAGAGGGGTAAATACACCATTTACCATGAAATGAACAGAATGGGAGAAGTTCTTTTTCAAAGTGAATTCTATTTACTATGCTATTCTGTGCCGTCATTAAGATTTTTTTCCCTCTAAAAGTGCACAGTCAGTAAAGCAGTGTGTGCACCAGAAGTGTCCATCTTAAGCAAAGAGTTTCCTACTTTTTAAAGAACTGTAAGCAGTTAGAGATGGCATGTTTGTGGGACAGTTGTCAGCTCCCCATTCAGCAAAGCCAGACTACCTCACACTCCGTGGGAAACAGCAAAAATCCCAGCACCTTTCTTCCCCTATCAAAATTCTCTTCGGTATACTTAGCCCAGAGTCTACGAAGTGTCAGGTCCGCAAGAGCAAGATGTATAGCAGAACAGGCCGTAAGTCAGAGGTGCGTGAGTTCAGAGGGGACGAGAATGGGGTCCTAGCGTACGTTTAGTCATTAATAGGATGGAACACTGAGTGTAGACACGTGCTTTAATAAAAACGTTCCGCTGAAACAAATACAGAAGCAGGAACAGCTGCCATTCTTTCCTGACACTGCTCCACTGACTTGGGGGGCACTGGTAAGAAAGAGACCATGCTCGCAAGCTCTTAATGTCTTACTGACCATAAAGACCACCCAGCTGCTTTAGGAAAAACAAGCCACACAACGTTAGGGAATTTCCCGGTGTCTTTAGCCACCACAAAGGGTTTAATTCACTGTAACTGACAGTTGTCTTGACACTGTGCAACAGTTGGGTGAGTGTGGTTAGATTTTCGGGTGGGAAAATAAGAAGTGGGCCAGATTTTTGCATTTTGTTTGTGTGCGTGCAAGTCTGGCGGGCAGCCTCACTTCGTGAGCCTCTCCTGTGCTTCCGCTATACTGGACTGCAGTGCAGGTCCTTGGCTCGCCTCTGGGAGCCGCAAGCACAGGTTCCAGACTAAAGAAGCAGGGATTCCTGTGTGATGTCAGCTTGCTCTCCAGCAGGGATCCTTCAGGCAGCCTCCTTTGTCTTTTAGAAAGGAGATACTAGGTAACCAATGACATGCCCAAAGTACCAGCGATGTGACCTGAGCAATAGTTAAGTTTGGCTGGATGATTTTACAGAATTAGTATGTAACAGCCAATCTTTGGCATGGTCATTTTTCTAGAATAAGAAGTATTCTTTATGAGTTTCCTTACTTTTAACTGTATGCATGTGAATGTGTCCAAGGAGGCCAAAGAGCAGAGGTCTTGGGTCTCTCCTGGAGCTGGAGTCACAAGCAGTCACAAGTGAGCTGGCCAACATGTGTTCTGGGGACTTAACTCCTCTGTAAGGGCTTTTAACTGCTGAGCCATCTCTCCAGCCTCTTTAGCAGTAACGCTGTACCTTGATGTGGAAAAGGCCAACTACAGAGTTCTGATGAGTGGTGTGTGTGTGTGTGTGTTGTTCACATGTGCACACAGGTCTAGCTGGTCATGTCTGTTACCTTATTCATCTTCCTCCACCTTATTTCTGGAGCCCCAGGCACCAGTTTATTTACTGAGCCATCTCCCTAGTCCTTGATGCATTGTTGCTCATCTATTTCACATAAAGATAGGATATATACATAAACTACACACACACACACACACACACACACACACACACACACATACACGCACACAAACTACACTGAACCAAGTATACAAGCGCTCTTAGGCTGAATGTACCTTTAATAAGAGTGAGCTCTGACATCTTGTGTGATTTCCCAGGGTAGGTTTTCCCTTTATTCTAGAAAGACCTGTAAAGTTCAGAACAATTTCAAGACCTTAGCTACGCTGAGTTTTAAGATGGGGCACTATTCAAATGTAATGGATATTGTTGGCATTCCCTATTACTGTGAGAATATACAAAAAAATGTTACAGTCAGCCATGCATACATGGAGTGTTTTTTTATGATCAGCTTTTAATGCATGACTTTTATTAATTATTTTAAAAAGTATTTATTAACAGTCCAGAGAGATAGCTCAGCGGTTAAGAGCACTTATTGCCTGCTTACCCTTCCTTCCTTCTCTCCTTCCACAGGTCCCTAGTTTGATTCCCGGCACCCGCAAGGTGGCTCGCGGCCATCCGTCCTGCGTTCTGGCGCCCTCTTGTGGGGAAAAAGTATTTATTACAAGGTAAAAATAAACCTCTACTAAGAGCATGCCAGAGACTGACTACCCAGGCTTTGCCCTTAAATGCTTTCCGTGAGCAAGCACTAACGATTACTGGTCTTTGACAGGCATACTGCTTCCTGTTTTGCCGTTTCTAGCCAACCAAGGGGCACAGCTGGGCTTTGCCTGTCACTGTTATTCTTCCCAGGGCTGATGTGGTGAGACCTAGGAGCCCCGCCTGCTTTCGTCTCTTCCACAGCTGTGAGGAAAATGATACTGGCAACTTATTCACACCTGTCTCATATCTGATTGGTTTTTGATTTATTAAATTTATTCATTAATTTTACATCCTAACCAAAGTTTTCCCTCCCTCCTCTCCTCCCATTCCCTTCCTCTACCCTCCTCAATCCACTCCTTTTCTGTTTCTGTTCAGAAGGGGGCAGGCCTCCCATGGGTTTTGATTCTTAACTGGGATTTATTTCTCAACTCACAACTGGCTCCAGACCCCTAAGCGGCTCCAGACCCCTAAGAGAGTGGAGTCCTGTAACGCAGAAAGCAGGGCCCCCACCTGGAACGCTTTCCTCTTCTATGCCTGCTGTTATGTAAATTCACTTTTGCAATCTGTAATGGTAGGTCTGTCCCCTTCTTTCAAAGACCCATCTGTTTAATGGCTATCCAGTGTTAAATCTGGAAATGGGCCACACAGAGTTTCCGCAGGGCAGCTAACAGCTATGCTGGTTACACTGTATAGTGGTTAGGACACTGGGTCCAGGTTAGTTCTCCAAGGTTTGTAAGCCATCTGATGCTTCTGGTTTCATAATCTGTGGAATGGGGATTATAGTACCTACTTTCAGGGGTTGTTCCAGTTAACACAGTGCTTAAAACACACACACACACACACACACACACACACAGAGCCACTCTTCCTTAGTGCACATGGACTCATTCAATGTACTTCAGAGGTCCGGAGAGATGGGCGGACATGACGTGTTTTGCAGTACTAGACACGCTGTTGTCCTTGGGGAGGAGGTACAGTGGCAGGGGCGCTCACAGCTCCAGGAGTTTGCCAGCTAATGCCATAAGCGTATTCTTCCCAGAAACCATGCCCTCTTCCAGAGGATAGTAGAAGAGCGTTTGAGACAAATCCCAGTGCCGATCATGAACAGTGTCTGCGCCTGGAGCACAGGTCCCACTTTGGACATGAGTTCTATATAACTGAAGTTTCTCACCCTGTTTCCAATGTCCCATTAAGTGGAAAACTGCTATCACATCGGTTCTCCATAATACGATTTTAAAAAATTATTTATTTTTATTTTATGTGCATTGGTGTTTTGCCTGCATGTATGCCTGTGTGAAGGTGTCAGATCTTGGAGTGACAGACAGTTGTGAGCTGTCATCTTGGTGCTGGAAATTGAACCCAGGCCCACTGGAAGAACAGTAAATGGTCTTAACTACTAAGCCATCTCTCCAGCCCCCCATAATAGGATCTTTATCAATCGGTATCAAGTAGTGAAAAGCTCAACCAAATTAACCAAGGTTCTTCTACCCAGGGACCGTCCAAGCAAATCTGACCTACTTCAAACCTGCCAGCACTCAGACTCAAGGTAAGCATAAAGAATAACACCCTGGCATTTTCAAAGGAAATGGGAGATAATATAAAATAATAGTAATAATAAGTGGGGGAAAGTGGAAGAACAGAACTTATAAACAATTTAAAGAAACCGTAAGAAAGAACAAACAGACTCCTCAAAATATGGTAACAGCAGGAAACTGTGTTTAAAAAAAGCATTCACATGAAAGTTATAATGTGATACCTCCGAATTTTTACAAGCTATGAACATATCTATTATATGTCATGGCTCCACTAGGGTTTCCCAATGTCAATATAAACACACAGGTTGTCAGACTGATGGGCAACACAGAACTGAGTATTCAAACATGGACTTTTTTTTTTTTTTTTGAGACAGAGTCTCACTATGCAGCCTTGGATGGCTTGAAACTTGCTCTGTATGCTCTAGTGGTCTTAAACTCAGAGATCCACTTGCTTCTGCCTTAAGGGCATGCACCACCATGCCCAGTTTGACCTCCTCCATTTAGCCTTCTAGAAGCTGGTCTGCTTGTGTTACAGCTAAGATGATGTCATTATTCACTTTAGAGCTTATCTTCGGGGGCTTTCCTACCTCTTTAGTTTTCCTTTTACTGGAGAGGATGTGAGCTGGGTTCTAACTGGCTCTGCCAATGACTCAAGAGCAGCAGATCCCCTCTGAGGATTCAGCGCGGCAGGATGGAAGCTGCGGCAGGATGTGATTCTAGCCACAACGCATTTCTTTTCTGAACTTGGCTCCAGCGTCAGCAGGCAAACTGCCAACCGTGCAAGAATCCAAGTTACTAATTCTGCTTATGCCAGCTAAACAATGCGTCATCAAACAAGCCACCTTCTGACTATTTATGAGATGTTATGTCTACCTAGCAATGAGCCTGCAGTATTTAAACATCCAAGAAGTCTCATTTAACATAACCTGCCCACCTCCGACATTTTATTTTCTACCCGGTTGGATGGATAATCTCAAGCACTCCCCAGATGAGGAGAGAGCTGCCCCTGAGACGCTGGCTAGCTTTCAAAGCTCTTCTCAGTGTGTGTACAAAAGGAACAAGTCCAGAGAAGCTGAACACTATTCAGATTCCTTATGGGTTCCAACGTGTGCTGGGGACTTGTTTTGGGGAAAGGCTGAGTTCACCGCAAGAGTGTGCTTCCAAATCCCCAAGAGTGTGCTTCCAAATCCCCAACTCAGCCCGGAGGCAGTTCAACCTCAATTATACGTCAGGAGACTCCAAGCAGCTCCGGGTATTGGAATGAGTGCTGCAGACAAATGCTCCGAGAAACCACTCAATGACTCCAGCAGGTACAGGGCAGGGCACAGAAATAAGAAAAGTGCTCCTGCCCACAACCGACTTGCAACCTCGTCCCGAACCCAGATCAGCACATTCGGAGATTACCAAGCATCTGGAAATAAAGTAGCATTTAAGCACGGCTGGAAACACAGAGGCTGGCTCGGTTGCAACACTATGCTCCCCGCAGCCATGCTTGCAATATGACGGGACTCATCTGTCTCTGTACTCGTTTGTCCCTCTGTACAACTTGGAAGAAACTATTCTCTGTCGGCTGCAGAGTTGCCCAGGCTCCTAGAATCATCTCTATGTGGTCTGGAAATCACCGGGTTTTCCTTGAATGGCTGTGACCTGCAGTCTGTGAACCCACTTCAAAGGAAACGGTCTAATGATAACCACGAAGCCCTTTAGAGAACAAAGGAAACTGCTCGCCCCAATCTGTGATGCTCTGCGAAGTCTCTCTCTGGAGGGAATTGGCAGGTTTTTATCTGAGGCTGAATCAATTGGCCCTGGATGCATTTTTTTTTTTCAGTCACCCTTGCTGCTGCATGAAGAATGAACTAAGAAAAAAGCCACAAGTAAGTACAGATCAGTCCCAGGAGGGGACGAGAGCTTGGGTGGGTGGTGTGGGATCCTGAGCATGCAGAGGGCACGCAAGCTGGCACCTCGCTAAACTCACAGGGCAGGCTTCTACTACTCTGAGGTGAAAACATTCTCCTTTCTCTCCTTGCATCCAAGTGGTGCTGATGGAAAAAGAAACCCAACTCGGAGAACAAAGGAAGCTCCTCCACTAGGCTGAGTTCCTCAGACAACTGTCCTTCCAGGACCTAGATTTTATGTTCCGGATGGGTTCCGATGGGCAGTTCACCTCTTAATGGTAGCTTCGGAAGGGATGTGCTGTCGGGATTTTAATATTACAAGATCAGGTGTGGCCTGTGGTACTACACAGACATACGAACTAGTTCCTCCATGAAATGAAATAGAACTGGACGCCAAAAATTAAAGGGACGGTCTACTCATCCTCATCAGCCATCCAGTTAAAGATGGAACCTAGGAGCTCTCAGAGGATAAATACCCCACACTAGTCACCCCTGCACAGCCTAAGAGCAGTGGCTCACTCCAGCGAATCCTGGATGGAATGAAGCGAACTTCAAAAGACCTCCGTGCATTCTGGCTGCTTCCTATGTGACAAACCAAGGTACTACACGTAAGCTATTGCCATTCAGAGATGGGGTTTGAGCAACATTCTAGGTTACTCAGATTCGAGTCACATAATCTACTTCTGGATAAAAGGTTTTTTTGCATATGAAATGAGCCAGACACACTCTGGGGACAAAGATGCCTTTGGCCAAATGGCACGGTTTCCTCCTCTTCTGGGTTCCTGCATGGTTGTTTATTACAGTTACCCTGGTTCGGGGTAAGTTCAAGGAGCTTCTGGGTTGATTCTTCCTGATGCAGCTGACCTAGTGAGACTAGTGGGCAGGGAACTGAAGGAACACCTTGAAGGGACCCCCCTGCGGACTTCCACACAAGCAGAGATAAGGGGCACACCAGGCAGTGACGGCAGGCATAGAGCAAAGGGGCAGAAATAATTAGGAAGAAAAATCAAGGACTTGAGTGATTATTTGAGTGGAAGAAAGGAAGGATAGAGGCAGCTAGGGGAATCGAGTCCTGGGTTTCTGACTCTGCTGAGGTGAAAATGGTAAGAGCAGTGAGGGCAGAGGCCTTGGCTCTGGAGACAGTGGACACATGGGAAAGACACGGCACAGATGACGTCAGTCACGAGCAAGTGTTCAACTGTGTTTCTATCATACTGTGCCCTCCCCTTTCGTAAGACATGCTAGAACTCTAGCTCCCAGCACCCAAAATGTGACCCTGATTACAGACAGGAACTTAAAAAGTTCCTATCAAAGTATATATAAAAAGACATCATGATATTGGATCATTCATCTGCTGTGATAGGTGTTCTCATGACATCACTAGGGTGGGCCATTCATCCGCCATGACTGGTGTTCTCATGACATCACTAGGGGGAACCAGAGGTGTTCTCATAAATGAAAGAACACACAGAGGGAAGGTGTTGTGGAAACCCAGAAAAAGAATGGCCAACTGCAAGCAAAAGGGATTCTTGGAATAGCCCCTTCCCTCCAGCCCTCAGCAAGAACCTACCTTGTATTCCTCCAGCTTGGACTTTTGGCCCTCAGAATGGAGAGTCACTAATCTCCTATTTGTGCTATTTTTTTTTTTTTTACAGTTGCCCCAGCACACAGAATGCTCACCTAAAGGAACTGAACGAACTACATGGTAGGAGAAGATACCAACTGGAGAGGACTGAGGCATGATGGTAAGTGAGACTCCCATTGAAAAGTGTTTTCAGGAAAACACAGCCTTAGCTTCGAGATCACAAAAGGTCAGGGTGATTGCAAACACAAACGGATTATCTTCCTCTGGAGAAATCCTAACAAAGTAGTTTGCACTGCTAGCCACCAAATCCTGTGATTAAAATCATCCACGATGGCTACATTCACTTTTTTTGTCTTGTTTCTAATCGTGATAGTTTTGCCCACTTGACACAGCCTACAGTTGCCTGGGAGAACGTACCAATGTCTGTGGGCATGTCTGGGGGGCGGCTGTAAATGAACTGATATGGAAGACCCAGCACACTGTGGGTGGCACCGTTCCCTAGAGCAAGGGTTCTAAACTATAGGAAAAGAGAGAAATCAAACCACGCACAAACAAGCGGGCATGAATTCAACCATTCTCTTCCCTGCTCTTGACTGTGGATACGATGCGAGCCCCTGCCGCCACCTTGGCTTTCCCACAGTGATAGAAAGTAACCTGCAATATTGAGCTAAAATAAACCCGTGGCTGCTTGCTTTCTCTAAGGGCGTTTCTATCACAGCAATAGAAATGAAAGTAGAATATTAACTGTCTATGGATTATCTTCCATTTGCTCACCAATTAGTCTTGTCAGGGACATGTTATTATATAGATCCCAAAATAAAAATTTTTTGTTTTGTAGGAAAAATGGGATATAAGCAAAAATCAGATACGATTATAGGAAAGGCAGGCATAGCAAGGCCCCAATGGGACAAGATCACAAACAGCTCCAATATCCTCTTGGAAGGGGAAAGGAAAGAGCAGGGCACAGGCGTGGGTCCTTCAATAGAGGACGCAGAAATCCGGTGGCATTTCTGGTACCTCAGAGTCTATTCCTTAAAGTGTGGTCATCCTCTTTGAGATGTTGGAGGGCTGCCTGGGTGGGTGACGGGGAGAAGGGAGAATGTGGGGGAGCCTGAAGAACAGCAGGAGAAAGAGTGGTGCTGAGAGTCCGGCCGATTTTTCATGGCGCCACAGAGACAGAGAAAATGGTCTCAGCATCCTTCCAGCAGGCACAGCCTACAGCGAATGTATAAGGAAGCCAAGCTGCCACTCAAGGAAGGACTGCAGCATCAACAGACCCCAGATTTTGTAAAGACAGGAAACAGATTAACAAGTCAATTCTTAGCAAGAACAGGCCTACCAGGAGTCTGGGTGTGACCTCGGCATACAAGGCTCCATGAGGTGTGGTGGTTTGGGTTACAGACAACACAAACAGAATGATGGTGGAGAATGACTGAAGCTGAGTGTATATAAAATAAAGACCACAGGAGCTGAGCTCCAGGCACTGAGGACAGCACAGTGCTGAGCTTGCAGGGGATGTGCCCACACCCGGGAAGGCTCGTGAGGATGGTAGCGAGGTGAGTTAAAATATGATCGCAGGTCAAAGGAGTCCATTCTACCATGCTTGGCGAGTCAGCTCTGTACCTACAGCTGACACTCCAGCTCCTCCTGGCTGGCGTGCACGTAAATCATATTTGCCAATACAAACAGGTAAGCGTCACAGAGGAGCGAGGGGTTTGGGGGTCTGAAGAGTCACTGTGTGCTGAAGTTACATACGTGCTGTATACAAGATGATTGATAAAACTTTAGGCAAACAACATACCAGAAACTCCTGGCGGGGTCTTAATGAACTTTCCATTAAAATGACCGATTACGGCTTCGCATTTTTCTGTTGATTCCATCCTAGTCATATAAAATAAGACACACGTAAATACGCTGTACACGCAGAGCACAAGAGACCTTGTCTAACTCCTGTTGTAGGTTTAGGAAACAAAGGGAACCTAGCAGAAAACCATGGGGGTGATAACAAAAAAGAGGGCTTACTTTCTCATTAGCTGTTGTTGCTCTGGCATTTCTACAGCAAAATAACTGATCCCAGAGTTATTATAATTGCAAAAGACAGAATATTCTGAATTATGAAAGACAGTAAATTCTATGAAGAGTGTCTCAAAGCAGTCATATGAAATTATGAGTTTCTAATGGCTGGAAATTTAAAATTTAATTTATAATTGTAACTTAAAGTAATTCATAATTTTATTAGTCATGGCTTTGTGCTAAAAACAACAGTTCAGATTTTTTTGTCTTAAAGATGGTCTTTCCTTTTATGAACTCTCATGCTACTGGCTCGTGTCAATCAGAGGCTGTGCCTTATGTGTTTCTAATTTTCACTCACTCCGAGTTTAAAATTAAATTAGTGAACTTAATTATATAGTTTATCATCTTGACTTTGGAGCGGGAATTAAAGGCTGGAGCCTAATTTTACAGTTTATTTTACATCTACAGGTGACTAAATACAGCTGAGAAGTACTTCTGGGAACTTAATGACTCTGACTTGGAAATATCCTTCACCTTTCTTTCTTCGGTGGGACTATCCAATCACCTTCTCAAAACGTGTTATACTCAGGTTCACTCAGTCACACCTCAGTTTTAATTAGCAGTGATGGATCTTAAAAACCAGCAGAATTCTACTGGACGCTGGAGGGATGATGTCACTCTGAGGGGGTGACGTCACTCTGTAGGGTGATGTCAATCTGAAGGGGTGGTCTCACTCTGTATGGTGATCTGCATTCAGAAGGGCACCAGGGAGGAATGACATGAGGCCAGAGCACCAAATGTCTTGCCTGTAGCCTTTTCATCAATGACGTAATCAGTATGCACTACTAACACCACTGAAAGGCTGTCTGGGTTTTATTCCAGATTGTGGTCCAATGGAGCAAGTGACTAAAAGTCAACAGAACCAAGTTGTAGCCCTGGCGTTTGTGACTTAATGGCGAGGTGACAACGAAAAGGTCCCTTAGAAATAAATGCTTTTAACAAATAAATGTTTTGTTGACATCTCAAGTTTGTGGTAAGATGTGAATGTCATTTTTATTGTTAATTATGTGAGCATTCTCCTCCAAAATCAGTTTACAATTTAATGCTGATGTTATCTGTCATTGCTCAGCTAATAAATTATTAAACAATTCTCTATAATCAGCTTTTGTGTAGGGACTTTAAGATTATAAATCTGCCATGAATCAAAGCTCTTTCTGTTTAATTCACTAGAAACCATTTTAGCCACTAAAGGGGCCTTTCTAAGAAGACAAAGATTTTATAGCAGGGTAGGGATGTCTAGGTGTTCCTACCTAGAACAGTCATTAGAGAAATAAACCCGAAGAATTATAAACTGTTAGTAGCTTCTGAGTTGATACGATGGCTAGGTCTTATACTCCCTTTTCTGAATGTCTGAAATAGTTAGCTTAAAAAAAAACTTTAAACCTGCTTTATTATAAATCAGATTTCTGTCTGAGAAAAAGACACAGATTTATCTATGAGCCTCAGGAGGTTGTTTGTCTGTAGATGGTTACAAGCATCTTGAAGTAAAGAGTCAAGCTGTCAGGACCATGTGTCTAGGGCCACTGTGCTTGTGACAGTTCCAGCCACGAGCCATGGAGTACTTCAGAGTCAGAGTGCTCGGTTTGGGGAGCCCAGAACTTCTCAAGGCTTGGAAAATCTCATGTGTAAAGTCACAAGCAACTTGAGTTCTCAGTACAATCGGCTCCCACGACCCTGGCTCGAGCGTTCTATTTCTGGCCATTTTTCACTTTCTAGAATGACTTAGCAGAGCCACAATTTTTCCTAAGGAGACGGCAGCGCGCTTACCTGGCAAAACCAACACCGCGGCTGGTACCACTGGAATCACGCAGGACCCTTGTAGAGATAACTTGTCCGAAGGGCTTGAGCATATTTTCAAGTTCTTGCTCGTCCATGGACAGCGGCAGGTTAGAAATGTACAGGTTGGTAGGATCTTGTTCCTGTTGCTAAGGCAGAACAGAAAGTCAGCTGTCACTTTCCGGCAGAAGGAGACACCATGCTGACACTTTTTCATTCAGATCTGTGAGTCCTTTAAGCATTACATAGTGAGACCGTGGCGTGTCCAGAACACGTAAGCCACCTCGGATGCTTGAAAATCGTGCCTGACTCTTGTACAGCCTGCACACGCCAAACGTGGTCCCCAGAGTCATGTGCAGCAGATGTGGAAGTGGCACCACTCTGCATTGAGCTGGGGAAGATGTTCTCACAAAACAAGTGTCAGCAGCATGCAGTGGCTCCACAACTAACCAACCACTGCTGTTTTCAGAAGTTCACGCCAAGCTCACTGCTGCTAATAATTCAGCTTGGAGATCTGTGGAGAAAGATTCTGGACCAACCCTGTGGAATCCAGTACATGCTGGGTTCGACTTCTCCACTACTTCCCCATGGTAGAATCCATACTACTTTACTTCTTCCTTTCTTTTTGATACACGTGTATTCTCACTACGTCACACCCCCTAGCCTCAGCTTCCTGAGTGCTGGGATTAGAGATGTCTGCCCCACCATTACTTGGCTCCATTCTAGTCACCAGAAGGAAAAGGGTAGCTCTTAACTTAAACAAGAAACTGTAAGCCATGGCAAATGATACGGCACTATGAGGAGGGAAGGCTGGGTCAGTCTTTGTTCCACAAAGGGTCCTCTAGCATCCACAGGCCAGCAGACTGCACCTGCCGGGCACTGGATTACATGTGCAGAACCAGGAGCTGCATTTTAACAAGACGTGCAGCTAATTAACAAGCACAATGAGTTTTGAGAAGAGACTCGCATCGGATCATTTGCCTTCCTTTGTTAGTTTGCAAAGAGCTGGTACCAAAGATACGTGGCAGAACTGTGTGGTACCCAGGGAGTGCGATGCACACATATGAAGAGTGCGCCATTCAAACCAGTAGGGCAAGCCCACCTGACCACGAGAGTATTTTCTGCCTAAGTCAAAGTATACCTATACAACTGAGGTTGGTATAACCATCACTTCAAATTTTCCTTTGACATTCCCCGTTTCTAGTTTTGGAGATGAACACGGGGCTTTGAGCTTTCGAGGCAAGTGTCCTACCAAAGGATCCCCAGTCCTCCAATTTTATCTTCACACTGATGCATTGGAGCCGACTTCTCTTTCAGAAGCGCTATTGGTAAAGCCATTAATTGATGTCTTAGCCTTTGGCAACAGAATAATATCCTCATTATGACTTCCTCAATTTCTGAAGACACGGTGTTCTAAAAATATGTATGAAGCATTGAATATGTTTGCACTTGTACAAAGTCTTTCTAATGTAGCCTAGCATTAAATAAACCTGAAAGGAAATCTCTCCTTTTATATAATTTTCAGGTAATAACAAACACTAACCTTTAGTGCCCTGTCTGTCTTTTTAAGATTTAGAATCATCTAGAGCTGGGGTTCAGCTCACTGTTAAAGCTCTTGTCTGGCATGGGACCCTGGGCTTGACTTCCTGCACCTCATACAGAAACGAAGAGGAGGATGGATAAACCACCGGAGCAATTTAGTTTCCAACAGAATGACAGCTGTCCTGCCATTCCCAAGAATGAAAGCTAAAAGGGACAGAAGTACGGACATCAATACTGCCCTTAGAACTTCCCAGCCCAGGTGAGAAAGAAGGCAATACACACTCAGGCCAAAGGCAAAGAGTGCTGGCTCTGAGCCCGGGTGATCCAGGTTCTAGGGTATGTTATGGATAGGTATGAATAATTTACATTGATATGGATTTTGCTTTAGTGATTTAAATTTAAGGTTAATTTTGTAATGTATATAGGTTGTTAATGAATAATCATTAATAGTAGTTAAGTTTGTAGTCATGTTAAGATTTTCTGGATGTGTATAGATATATTTTAGATAGGCATTCTTCATATTTTTCAAACACTACGGAATATGCTATTAAATGTTTTAATAACTTAGGACTTTTCATGACAATGAGACACTCTGCTCCTGGCATCACCAATCTACTTCAAGAGGAAGATGGGCATCGAAGAGGATCCTTATGGAGTTTGATAGCCATTTGGGCAAGAAACTGCTCTTGCCTGGACTATTGCATAAACTGGACACAGAGAACCCGCAGAGAGAGGACTGCTGAACTTGCCTAAAGGTGAGATGATCTTTCGGGGTTCCTGATTCATGAGAGAGTCTGCAAGACATTCTTCAGGACAAGCAGATAGTGACTGCCTTTGAAATTTCCTGCTTTGTGGAAATGTCTGCTGGAAACTATGGGCCTGTAGGCTGAAGATGGATGCCCCAACGGTACAGAGGAACTTTGGGTGACTGTCCAGGCAGCGAGATGTCTCTGTCATTTCTAGAGCTTTGGATTTCTTGTTTGCTTAGGTAATATTGTATCTTTCTGGAGTCTTTGATGGAGTTAAGAATAGTTAGCTATAGTTATAGTTTTCCTTAGTTATGATATAGATTATTGTAATTTTTACTTGGTAACTGTTTTGTTATATGTAATTTTGCTATGTAAAGTTAAAGCCTTCTTTTTTTGTTTAAACAGAAAAAGGGGAAGTGATGTGGGAGTGTCATATATCAATCTGTTGATTTCATTGGCTGAGCAATAAAGAAACTGCTGGCCCTGATAGGTTAAAAGATAGGTGGGCGGAATAAACAGGATAGGATGCTGGGCGGAAGAGGAAGTGAGGTCAGACTCTGCGCTGCTTCCAGAGGGACCGGACCGCCGCCATGCTCTGCTCTCCCAGGCAGCTGCAACCCACGATGGACTTAGGCTAGAATCTTCCCGGTAAGCGCACCTTGGGGTGCTTACACACATCATTAGAAATGGGCTAGTCCAGGTGCGAGAATTAGCCTGTAAGGGCTAGAGTTCATGGGCCAAGCAGTTCTTAAATGATTACAGTTTGTGTATTGTTATTTCTGGCATGAGCTAGCCAAGTGGCCGGGGTGTTGGGGACTCAGCCCCGCCGCTTCCTATTTCAACAGGCGGGTCCAACAAAAAATGAGAAATTTCACAGTGCACAACACCAAGCAACTGAACAGTCTCCTTCATGGACCATTCATGGGCAAATCAAAGCAGAACCTATTTTTGCTTTTTAGCTGAGATTAGGAGGGTTTAGTGTGATACCACTGGTTATCTGATACTGAACAAAACATCTTATTGTCAGTCAGATAAAGTATTATCTTTGATGCTGAAAATGAGCCAAGTTCTTTAACAGATGTAGGGCAATAGTGCATGCAGTGTTTCAAAACACAAGGAAAGACAATAAAGTTGTCTTCAGGTGCTGAGGTGGGGTAAGAGGGGAAGCCTTATCCTTTTATTTTCACTTCATTTGCTGCCCCCACCAATGTCACCCAGTCAATCACACAGCTCCTCCAAGAACCATCTCCTTTGGGTCCCAAGTCACTGAAGTTTTGTTCCTGTGGAAACCTACACAACCAGGGTTGCTGCTCCCTGAAAATGGCTTCACAAAAGAAGGGCTTTTCCAATGTATCCCATGAGTCCCAGACTCTAACTGCAAAGCAACTATGTCCTCAGCCCCACCTTCTAGTAGCTTACTGAACAATAGAGAGGAAAGAAAACATGGGACAAAGGCTTGATATGTTGAGGGGGAATGGATGGGGACTCTTTTAAAGATGAAAGGATAAGTCTGTTGAGAGAACACGGGGCATCTAGAGCAAGCTAAGTCAAGAGGCAGACAGACTGTGAGGTGGAACCTAAGGAGGTGACCTTATTTTGTCAGTTACTGCGTTAGTTTTTTTTTTCCCACTCTAGGAGTGCTAACATTGAAGAAAATGACCACACAGCCTTGTCCCAGCTACACAACTTCCTTGAAGCCCTGTGCTTTATCTTAGTGTACACTAGTACAGGCTGAGACAGGACAACTGCTACAAGTTGAAGTCCAGCCTGGGCTGCAAAGACTAATTTATGTGAGTATCTCAGTATCTATCCCCATCCAACGTGAGAGTTAAACTTTGCCTTCTACAATGATCTGACTTTGGAGAGAAACAAGTTCTGGAACTGGATACCGTTACAGGACTGATACTTTAGGGAGACAAACTGCCATGTTTTGGGATGTCTCCTTCCCGCAGGTGTGCTGGGAGAGGATGGACGAGGGGCTTGTCCTCTGACAGCCACACTCTGCAGAACAAGAAGGTCGCTGAGGCACCCAAGTAGGGAAGGGGCACGATTACAATTACTAAATCATACTTAGGTTCAGAATGAAGCAGGAACTGGCTAATTGAAGGTCATAAAAATACGTTTTAGACAATGATATGCTGTAACAACTTAAATGTGTTATATAAGAAATGGACACCCAAATACTTGAGATTTTTGAAATTGTGATTATAAAGATTTCAATGACTTCACATTCAAGCAAGCTCACAGAATATTTTACACATTCAAGTCTTCTGATAAGGTAGACGGGAGTACTTTCTAATGTGTCTTAGCTGCTTCGGGAATAAGTATTATTGAAAGCTATACATACTTTGTAGAGTTTTAATTTAACTTCAAGGTGTAACAATATGGGGGAAAAACACCCAAATATTAAAATGTTTAAAAACCTGAATGGAGATGTGTGTTTCGGGGGGGAAATCAAGCACTCTGATAAGAGTAATATACAATGAACTAAATATATGTGAATATTTCCTATGACTTAGAAAACACCCTGGGTATCTGAACTCGGGAACCTTTTGAATGACAGGCAGGTACTATACTGTTGAGCCACGTCCCAGGCCTGCAAAGATTTCTGGTATTTGTTTCCCATAGCAACAACCTTGTCAGTTAAGTTTCCTCATTTGGGATGACCACCACAGCTAATATTACATATTCTTTCTTTCTGTGTGGTCGACCTGTACTGCCAACAGCACCCACAATGTTGCAGTTAATTTAAAACTCAAAACACAAAAGAATGGGATGAAACCCCAGGCTGGTTGCACCAGCCACACACACAACCCCAATCAAATCCTCTAAATGCCCACGAAGTCTCATTACTTTATATATTCACAGGAAACGGGACATAAAGTATTTATAATAATTGGTGGTGTTTTGAATGAAGATTAATTTAGTCTCCTTAAAAGCTAACTGTTTAATAACGCGAATAATAAACTGCTATGTCTGAAAAAAGTCATCGTGCCAGTTACAGGCAGCCAAGAACAGTGGGTGCAATGGGCCCCTTTATGTCCCCAGGTACAGATGGGGTTAAGGAGCTTTTTTTACACATGGAAAAAGAAGTCCCACCCTGGCTGTGAGAGGGCTGAACGGCCCTAACGCTCACTTGAGTTAGAAAAGCCAGGCTTTGGAGGTCCCACGTGGTACGAAGCACTCGGTCATCATCTGAAAGAAATTAACAGAACCCTCCCTGTGCTTGTGGAATGGTTCCTAAAATGCAAGAAAGGGACTTGGCAGGAGGAGCAGACATCTGTTTTTGTCTGTTTTCTCTTGTACTAAAGAGGTTCACCCACCGGCAGCTCGCCTCTGACGGGTGTGTGCCTGCAAACTACTCAAGAGCATGGCGGGCCTCTGGGTAAGGGGAACTGCATTTCTGCTCACTTGCCTGCTGATGTGTCGAGAAAAGTGTGCAGGCTTGCCACCCCTGACGGTCTGCTGACCCCCCCAGCCAGCCTTAGGAGGTGACAAAGGCCTATAAGAGCCACTCTGTCTCAGGCAACAGCCCCAGAGTCAAGCCCTGCGTCTCTTTAATCAGGTACCAGTCTTTCTTTTAATAGGATCTGACTTTTTTTTCTGAAGGTAGGGTCTCACATCTGAATAGCCTAGGCTAGTCTAGCTACATAGAACTTGCTATATATCTCAGCCTCAAATTGCTATGGCCTCAAACTCATAGCAATTCTCCTGCCTCAACTTTCCCGCACGCTGGGACTGCAGGCATTAGCCACCACATCCGGCTTAGCATCTGAGTATTTACTCGAGAAGAAGATACACCTTTGAAATATCTGCTATGTTTCACATACATTGGCTTTCCAAAAGGTCCAAAGCCATTTCTGTTTGTTAAGTTTCAACAGGGTCCAGGAATTCCATGGACACCATTTCCAAGAATCCCTTTTCTGAATTCCCAGTGTCTACCCAACCTCGGAATAAAGGCTTTTCTTTTAATTAGCTGGTACTTTTAATCAATAAAGCAAACACTTCATGCCCACCACATGGCAGGTACTGAGCTGAGCTGTGGAGCTTAGGGCATGAACGAGAAACAGCTACTCTAATGTTCTCGGGTTACAGTTCTGAAATTCAGCTTTAATTATCAGTGGGCTTATCCCTAACCCCAGGCACCCAGTGTGTCAAGCGACATTACAGCTCTGACATTACCTCAACTGAGTGCCCCTGTATTGCTTCAGATTACACAAGAGGGAAAGACTTTAATGTGTGGGTTTTTTTTTTTTAAAAAACAATGCAGCATCCTGACTCACTCACTGTAAGAAAGTAAACAGCGATTGGTCTCTTATAGCACAACCACACAAGCCAGACTTACAACGTCCTGCGTAAAAATTCTGCCCCCGCAAGAAGTGCATCAGATAACCCTTGAGTTCATCAGTATAAGAGGATGAAGTGAAGACCAGATGCTCAAACCCATGATGCAATGGTAGAGAACACAGACCTGCTGGCATTTAAAACTACATTTATCTGCAGAACGACAACGCAGCCAGCAACCCTGACCCTGTGCACTGGTCCTTCCCACAGATGATGGAGAATCATGTCCCCTGCAGATGAAAGCCGTGAAGTCCTTTGATGGGGCTGGTTCTTAACCCTCCCAGAAGCTAGCATTCAAACTGCACCCCTGATATGACCTACAGTCAACCTATACCCAAGCCTGTTTTGAATCAACATACTTATGAAGATTTCTTACAAACAGTGCCTATCTAATACACTATACTGCTTAAGACAACAGGTGCCAGGATGGTATACAGGGGTTACCCTAAAAAGGCCACTGCCTTTTTCAACAGACTTCTTTCTAATTGAGTTTTGACAATGGGTGTTGGTGTTCCAATGGCTACGACTGGATTAGGATGAGTGGCTGATGGTCTAGCTCCTATCAGTCTGGAGGAGACACAGAGGCCGAGACTGACATTTATATGGAGAGAAAGGCAGCCATGTTCTGGGCCTCCACATGTGGTCTTTTAGCCTCTCATTAGCAGCCAAGCAACAGGGCTCTGAGCAGACCCGACAGAAAGCTTGATCTGGATCCCGCCTGCTCACAGGATACAGTGGGTTGATGTATGTATGACTCAAAAGCTGAACAATAGAAAAGGAGAGCGTGGATCGAAAGAGCCTACCGGAGTGGCTGGGAAGTAATTACTCTTACTGATGGCTGGCAAAGGTGGATGAGAATTAGGACTTACTGGAAGCTGGCTTAGTAACACAGAGAATAACCCCAGCACTCAGGAGGCAGAGGTGGAAGAATCAGGGACTCAAACTTCACCCCGGGCTATGTGGTAAGTTCCCTCCAAAAAAGCCAAAAGAAGTGGACCACACAGAGAAGTCTTGGAGTGAGTTAGGTTCCCCGAGGAAGGCTGCCTAGGAGGGCAGGGAGAGAGAGTTCATCAGAGGAAGATGACAGTTAGCTTGGGGGATGGGTGATAGGTTGGGGAGAGAGCTCAGAAAAGCATCCAGGGCACTTTATGAGAAAGAACGTCTGCCTGCTGCCTGTGAGAGAAAGTCAGATGACATCACTGTTAGGTCAAGAGACCTTCCTGTCCTCTGCTAGTGCTCCAACTCTGAAGGGTTAGAAAACACATCCAGGGAGCGGAGAGAGACTGGGGCTGAACACACTGCCAGGAGCAGACCTGACTCAGAGCAAGGGAAACTTCACCACTGTTACGTGATACTCAGAGTTTCTGTGAAACAGGACTGCGGATTTAAATCATAAGCACTGCATATCGTACATTAATAATCTCTTCTTCAAGTGTTTAGCTTCAAAATGTTAATCAAATGTTAAAATATTTCGCATTATTTTAGTAAGAAGAAATCATAATACACCACATGCCAGTCACAACCCCAACCAATCTTCTAAAATGTAATTAGATTTAGCTACGATGTAACGAGGCCCATCCATCACATGCCATCCTACGTGGGCATATAATAAATGATCGCCGGGATGGAAACCTTCAGAATGGCGCTTCCAGATCACCTAACAGTCAATAGTGTTGCCAGCAAAGAATTGCAAAGTGGTCTGTGATGGTTCCTCGGAACCAGCACCAGCCAAGACTCACAGATTTTGTAGGGCTCTGGGCAGTCTGGGAGACCTCTACACAGGACCCCACATTCTACACGCTGTATCTGAGTGTACCGGCACTCCCCCTGCAACAGACTCTTTTAAGCTTCACAATGAATGAGGCTGGACAACATGAATAGAGACAGGGATGGCTGTAGACGTCCTCAAAGGGACGCTGTATTTTACGGCATTTATGTGTAAAAACTCAAGAGAAGGGACTAGCTGCAGAAGCCACTAGCTCTCCTGGATATTATCGGAGAAGGGCAGAGCTTTGCAGAGTGACTTAGGATGCACAGAGTGAAAGACAGAACTGTGGTTTTCTGGGTAAGTCCTGCTTATCCCGTGTCCAGTCGCACACCTAGTACACGGACAGAGCAAATATGCTGTGAACTAAAATGCAAAGCAGGCTCCCTGTGTTCACAAGGTGCTGACAATCTCATGGTTGTTCAGCGCCAACACTGGACACGGCTCACATGATGGGCAATCCTCTGAAAACTGGGATGCTTCCAGTTTATGGTTTCTGTTTGTCTTAACTTCTACTCTGGAGGTGAAGAACACCCAAAGGCCAGCTCGGCGCCAAGCTGTGAGGATTATAGGGAAGGATTACTTTAGGAAAGGAATCCTTTTTATGAATTCCCGAGATCTTTATGTGGGCCGATTCGCATAGTCAAAGTATCTCTATTCTGGCAGCTGTAGGGCTGCGGGCAGCTAACTTATCTCTCAGGTCTTCTCAGGTGATACACATCTTCCTCATAGCCCTCGGGCTTGCGTCAGCCTTCTTTCCTGGCTATGTGAACATTCCTCAGGGAGGGATCGTGTGTGGTACTACTCAGAAGTAGCCAAGGACGGTACCCGGTTATTTCCCTCTGCACTTCATAAAGCCCGATAATAGAAAACTACTGCTCTTCCGAAAACAAGATTGGAAATAACAAACTGCCAAATTTTAGGCTTGGAAACATCTGACACAGAAACTGATGCAGGAAAAGAAAAACATGATTATCTTCATAGCTGTAATACTGGTTCTATATTGAAGGGTATCATTCAAGCTTACATTTTGCTCTATAAAAACCAGGACATATGCATTGGTTTTGTTAATGTGACTCTGAGCTGTGCTTAATGTAAAATAAAATTTCTGTTATAGAATACAGCCTAAGAGATGCACGATGCTTTAAGGGTTGCCTCTGATTCTTATTTTTTTTAATATTTATTTATTTATTATGTATACAATATTTTGTCTACACATATCACTGCAGGCCAGAAGAGGGCGCCAGACCTCATTACAGATGGGTGTGAGCCACCATGTGGTTGCTGGGAATTGAACTCAGGACCTTTGGAAGAGCAGGCAATGCTCTTAACTGCTGAGCCATCTCTCCAGCCCCTTTTATTTTTTTTAGTCAACATATACTTAAGTGGAAAGCTATATGTGATGGCTCATATTCATAATGCCAGTAGTCAGGAGGTGGAGGTAAAGAATCAGAAGTTCAAGGTCATCCTCAACTACAAAGGAAGTACCAGGTGGGATATGTGAGATCCTGTCTCGAAGAAACAAAGAAAAAGCTCATTGAAAGCAAGCTGGAGAACAGCCTGAAGTCTCTCAGCTTTAGGATTGTAACAGCTCTGGGTGAGTGATTCTGTTCTTGCTAAACTAATCTTCCCAAATGCATCACATCATCTAAGGCTTTCAACATTTTATACATTTGGGTGTGTTTGTGCATGTGTGTGGACAGTATGCTTATTGATACTGGAGAAGCTGGGTGAGTTAGTTCTCCCCTTTCAGTATACTGGTTCCAGGGACTGAACCAGTTATGATGCATGGCAGTGGGCGTGTTTATCAGCTGACCACCTCCAGCAGCACCCAGACTTTGACAGGGAATCTGATCTGCAAGTCACAGCCTAGCCAGCCACGCCATTCACATTTCTAAAGGATGGCCTTCCTGGAGTCTAGCTTTTTAACTTTCCAAGAAAACTAGCAAAGAGAGCACAATTCCGGGAAAAAGCATTATGTCTTGCAGTAATTAAAACCCAGGCATACTGTGGTAGAATGCTTATGAAGCAGGAAACATATGGTCTCCGTTTTATAGCCCTTGAACACTTTTAGGCATACTCCTCACTTGGAGGAATATTCCAACAATATTCCTCAGCTAGAATGCTTAAAGTTCACCAGAAATAAGTCTTGGATGAAGTCCACATAAAACTACCAAAGGATAGGTTCATATTACATAAATAATCAGGATGCGAAAATCATCTGGCTATTAGAGGTAAAACAGCATCTATGGTTTTACCTCCAACCTCCCATGTGTATAAACCCAGATGTGAGTCAGTTATACATCCCTTCAAATTTACTCTACCCTATGCACAATTACCTTTCGGATCTTTAACTGTGTGTGCCTGCGTGTGGAGGCCGGGGGTTTGCATGAGATGACTTTCTCAATAGCTCTCCACCTTAGTTTTTGCCAGGGTCTCTCACTGAACCTGCAGTTCCCTAATTCAGCTAGACTGGCTGGATAGCAAGTCTGTGACATCCTCCTGTTCCCTGTCCAGCTCAGAGCTTCCTGAAGTAGTCCACTGAGCCTGGCTTTTACATGCCTACCAGGGATCTGAACTCAAGCCTTTATGTTTGCATGACAATCACTTTACCAACGAGCCATCTTCCAGTTCCATCCCCCAATTACCTTATTAGATATATCTTCTGGTTACCATACAAAGGAATGGGTTTCACTGTGACATTTCTACACATACATGTTATGGTATTCTGTTCTCATTTACTCGTCCATTCCTTCTCTCTTTTTGCTAGTCTCCCACCTTTCCCCCAAATACTTCTCATTCTGCCTTTGCGACATATATATCCATTACTTTCTCTTTGAGGTATGCCTAAAACGCATTAGTTCTTTGTGCAAAGAACTGTTAAGGTCTATTTTCAGAAAACTGTAGATTTTTAAGCCCTTCTGAAATTCTAATTATCTAAGAAAATTGGGTGCTATTCCTGGATTTACTTATGGGGTTACATACTTTACTATGTAAAGTATACACGTTTGCCCACCCTCCTTTAGAATACGAAGAAGAAGGAAGTCTCTGGATAACTGCTATTGCTGAGGATGCCTGGGTGTGTGGCAGTGTTCGGAGGGACGGAGGAGTGGCAACCTTCGGGAGCACAGGCCTTCACTCACCTTTGCCATCTGAGCTTGGACTCCACTAGCCTTCAGGGCAGAGACAGCTTTCTGTGCTGCTGCAGGACTGTCGAAGTCAACAAAACCATAACCTGAAATGCAAAAGACACTCTTCTGAAGCTATGACCTTTTGTTTATATAAAGTGTACTTGAAGTTGCAATCTGCTCACGTAATAGGACCGCTCTTTGTTTTTATTGTCTTAGTAAGAGAAGTACACACTTGTTGCACTCAGTCACTGTAAGTACGCGTTTCTGGCCTTGGTTGAATCCTATTCTAGGAATTCATAACCAAGACAGGAAATCACGCAACTGTGTGCTGTCCATTGATCTGTGCTATTTTCAAGTAAATGGAAGGCCTATAAAATTTTATGTAGGGTCTATAGAATTAATTAGAGCTTGTTGTATCAACAGGGATGCAGCTGCCTTTGAAGGTGGAAAGTAACACGTAGGTTTGCTCACTGATGATGCTAGGAACGTCAGGTCCCGGGAACGCCAGTCGTCACATTCATCCTGCTTACTGGAGTCTGCCCTCACTGTCAGATGATTGAACACGGGCAGAGTTCTGTGCCCGCCTGCTTTGGTTTCTACCAAGCACAGGTTCGTTTTGTGATAAAAATGACTTTTTCTGTCCTCACTTTACCAGCCTGATTTATCCTCACCCATGTTTTTCTTATGTGTTAATGTAATCCATGCGCTCATCTAAAAGCAGTTTCTGAGTCAAGCCTTTGTGGGCTTTTATGTCCTAACCTGCCTTTGACATTACTGGTACACACTTAAAAGCCTTCTGTTTGCTAAATTTTGACAGAAATTGAAATATAAAATGAAAACAATCTTCAACAAATAATGTATCTTATTTTAGAGTTAACATTTTCTTCAACTTAACTTTGGCCAAAATAGAGGGCCCCAAATAAGTCTATGAAAAAGTCTCATGACCTTCTAAGATCTCTTGGTGTCATGTGTATAATACTTAAATATTCAATCTCTAAAAATTGTATTTAATATAGTGTTTCTCGATTATGTAATTCTCTATGTGTCTCTTCTGTATTAATTCATCTATAGCTATCATATGTGAAAAACTATACACACATATATCTATATCTGTATCTATCTATCTATCTATCTATCTATCTATATCCATCCATCCATCCATCCATCCATCCATCCATCCATCCATCCATCCATCCATCGCAACCACAACAAGTTACTGTAGGCGACACATTGTCTGGCTCTATTACGAACCAAACTGTTACTTCTCCTGTGTCTCAACATTACTTCCCCATCCTGCAAACTCACTCTGGCCTGCATAACTTTATAAACCCACTCTGGATCACCTCCCCACCCCATATTCCATCCCCTACACAGCTGCTGAGGCACAGTCCCAGAGGCTAGCGAGACCAAGAATCTTGGGAAGGGCCATGCCTGACCCAACAGGGTAGTGTCTTCCAAGACCCGCTTGCTAGAAAGGGATCCAGGATACTCTCTGGATTGACCATCAGCACCTTTCTTTTTGTTTGGAAGCCTCGTGAATCTCTCCACTTTGTCTGTGGCCACTTTCCAACCGTGCAGTTTTGTGTTTGGTAGTGTGAGACTGTCTGCCCTTTCTTTTCACTGATGTTTTCTTGCCCAGACCACACAAACACAGGGTAGAATTCTGGGTTCTAGGACGAGGCAGCCACTGGAGAAAAGCACCTGTCAGTCTGGCACTCGAGAGCTCTGCTAGGAGGAGGGGCTCTCCCCAACTCCAGGTCATAGCTTTGCCACATCAGATTCCTCTGGAGTGAGGAAAAAGGGAGGGAGAAGGGTGGACTAAAACCATTTATCCACTGTGATTTCTCTCCCGGTTTGAAGTTCACTTTTGAGATCGGCTTCCCGCTTTGTGCTTGGCAAGAGCCTATTCTTCTCCACAAAATCAAAAGACTTGTGTGTATGTGTGTGTGTGTGTGTTTCTGACTGATCTCCCAAATTATTTATTGATGCTAAATAAGACTAATCTTGGCAACTAAGTGCATGCATTTCCGCATGCATTTGCCTCTCTCCGGCTTAATTCATTTTAAATATTCATTGGGTACCACTCTACATAAAGCACACTCTATTCACTGTCCTAAGGCAAAACTGCCTTCATATGCCATGTTGATTAAACACGGGCTTAGATATTTGCCACAATAGCGCCTTTAAATCTAGGCACTTTGAAGAGGGGCGACTACAATGGGCCACTTCAAGTCTAGATTAAAGGAAAGGACTGGCTTACAAGGGGAGGCCTCACCCTAGGCTTCCCTTACGTTCTCTGCCTCTTTCATGGCTAAGCCAAGGCCCCATCACCAAGCACTACTTGAGAAAACTGGGGTCTAATTAATGAGGGGATTTGCCTTCTCTGCCTATTCCTGTCAACCCTCCTTCAATTCCCGGGGTCAGTAGTTAGAGTCAAAGTCAGCTGACTCCATTCTTCCATGTTCCTAGAAATCACATGCCCATTGTTAAGACGCTGGATCATTAAAAGTCAGATGCGCAGAGCATCTGCGCCGCCCTGCTCCGGACGCTTCCACGTGCAGCTCAAGGAGCTGGATGAGCTCATCCTAATTGCATGGAAAACTGAAGGTCAGTGCATCAAATTAATGCGGCAGCATATTTCAAAGGGGCGCGTGACCTCCCCTCCCTTGTACAATTTGGTCAGTGAAAATGGTTCCCTCCTCCCTGCCGCCAATACTGTCAACAGGCATTCAGCGGAGAACAAACGGGAGTATTGAAACATGTAATTAAGTACCGCTTAAAACGACTCTATTCTAATTAATAGAGCCAATTTACACAATATGTAATCTTTTCAGTTCTTTGGTATAGTCCAGTGGTCTCCAGTAAGCAGCTCTAATCTCCCCAGGCTCAGGAAAGAAAAGCTATTCTCTAGCCCGACTCCCCCCTTTAGAGGCAGGGGCTAAATGCCAAATTGTATTTTACATGTTAACTCTACTGGCGCCAAAGCCAGGATCCTGGCAAACTGCTAGTTATGGGGTTTCCAGCCAAAACTCAACTAGGGACAAAACAAACGTAAGCAATATGCTGATATTGTGCAAGACAGAAACCGGGTGACATATGAGGCCTGCTTTTCTTTTTAACACCATGAGGTTAGTTGTGAAACTGAAGATCATTCCTTCGTCTTTCTAAGGCTATGGGCCCAGGAAACGACTGCCCACAGAAACATACCTTTGCACTTGTTGGTTGTCTTATCCAAAATTGCCTTTGTGGAGACGATTTTTCCATATCTAAAACAAAAGGGAACGAGAAAAAGTCATAAGGAACTCCTATTCATGTCCAAGTCCAAAGAACACACATATTTTTGTTTCAAACATCTGCAAACTTTAAAGTACAAAATGTTCTTTACTAAGGGGCATGCAATGAGAATTCTGAACTTTAAACTAAAAAATGGAGTGGCCAGGATCTGCCTTTGAAGCTCTGCATTAAGTCTGATGTCTAGCTTTGAAGAACAGGTACTCTCCCGACAATCTCTAGGGTAAAAAAATAACTGAACACTCTATACAATTTTTCCCCTCCTTCTGGTAACATTATGTCTGTGGTCAACTACAAAGCCAAATGCAAGGCCACAGATCTATTAAAGTTCGACGACCCACATAGCTTTTATGAAACACAGGCAGCAGAAAAAGCGGCTGTATTTTTCTATTCATTCTGGCTCAGTGAACAGTGCTGTGTGGTCACAGGCTGGGAGACAGTTGTATATATATTCTGCTTAACAAACTTAAAAGATAAGGGAAGATAGGTAAGATAGGTTTTTTTATTTCTTTTGCCAAAGACTTGTTACTAAGATCACTTTTGAACTCAGTAATAACTAGGGTATTACTAGCACGGTGTGAGAGAGAGAGAGAGAGAGAGAGAGAGAGAGAGAGAGTGTGTGTGTGTGTGTGTGTAAAGTTGAGATTATGAAACTGAACAAGGGTTAATCACTAACACAACGATTGTGCGCATAAGAAATGTTAAATTCATTAAGGTGTCATAGAAATTGGGAAGAGGAAATGCAGTGACATTTCACGTGTATTTTAATAAATAAAGCAAGGAAAAAATGTAGACTGTTCTGATGTAGTTAAATGTAATTCATACACACATGTGGATATTAATCCCCATTCCCTCCTGATGCAGACTCTGAAGAGGAGCTTCTATCTACGCTTGTTTTCTAACGACTCAGGGAAAAGTTTGAAAAATAGTATTTGCATTGTTTTAAAATCACAGCAAACAAGAGAAATATGCAGGATATACTTCATGAATCCGGGGCCCAAATTTCCTCATATCTACATAGTTAAGTTCCAAACTTCCACTTTTCCGATGGCTAAATTACAATATTTTAAACATGTTCTCTTATGCCTTTCTCATGATCGACTTTTGAGAATTGAAAGATGGAATGGGTTTTAGTGCTGGGGATGTAGCCGGGTGGCTGAGCACTTGTCCAGCCTGTCACAAATGCACAGAGGCACTGGGGAGGGAGAGAAAAAGAACATCAAGTATCTTAAGTGTGTAAGGTGATCTAAGAAATCTACATCCCTTTTTACACCACTCTGAATGTAACTTACTTATACTTGTACGTTAAAAGCGGCTGAAATACATTTTTGTCTGGAAGAAACAAACGGCATGAGTCACCTCTCCTGTGCATTTAACTCTCTTCCTTCCACTCTGTCTAATCACGCAGTCAAATGAGTTCTAACTAGGCATGAAAGGAATCAGATAAAATTTAAGGTTCCAATGATAACTACAGCTAAGAGGCATAATGAAGCACAAACACCCTCGGTTCCCCGAAGAAGCACCGAGCATTTATAATAACATCAACTAGGATCACCAGGCTTACAAGAAATAGATAGAAAGAAGCACAAATGCCAACACCAAACAAGGACATGAAGGTGACTGCTTAGCAGCTCCTCCACGTCCGAGGTCACAGGCTTCGTGGCTCCTAGCATTCTCCCATCTGCAGTCTTCAACGGAAGCATCTCTTAGCTTTTATCACCCACTCATTCCTAAAAGCAGGGAGCAGTTGGTGTGACTCCAGCTTAGAACAAGGGGACTGAAAGTCACTCAAGTTACGATACTTCTTAACTATGTAGATATGAGGAAATTTGGGCCTGAGGTCTCAGAGAGAGGGCTTTTGGTCGGCCAAACAGTGGGACATTTAGGAGAAGGTCAGGAGTTGGCACTGTCCCCTCTGCGGCTGCTCTGAACACTTCATGATGGCAAGGACACAGAGATGTAGGACGACACGAAGAGGGTCACACTCAGGCCACACCACATCCCTGCCCCACTGCACTCTTTCTCCTCTAGTGTTCCTGACACTGGCGCTCGCTCTCACGCCTACACCGTGGGCACGTCTCTTCACCGTGGGAACTGGCCCCCCGGGGTGGCTCTATTCCACCTCAGTGGCCCCACTGGAGTGTCCTTGTCCAGTCCACTTCCTTACCCCCCTCTTTCCATTTCACTTTTGATCCTTAACCCTGCCTTTATTTGGACATTATTTACCCAGAGACGGAGGTTTAATTAACTTTTTAAAATGCCAATTCTCTTTCCTGACTTTTTTTTTTTTCCCACACAACTTCTGTGGGGGCTTTTATGTCTTTGCCTCTTTCTTTCTACTTAAATGTCTTAGTATTTTGTTAAGATAGTATTTAGTTAAAAATCGCCTCGTGGGCACCACTTTCTAAATTCTATTGTCGAAGCATCCCAAACACATACTCCATCTCCTCCCTGTATGTTTATTCAATAATACCTTTTCTCTCCCAGTCTTCCACAAGCTCAGGTTACCTGGGCCCGTATCAATGCAGTCATTTCTGAATGAAGACTGTAACCCTGCTGAGCTATGTCTCCACTGTTCCCCAAATACATGCCCCCCCCTTCCCTGTGCTGTCTAGAGTTATATCAAAAGCACCGGTCCTCCTGCCTCCACCAGTCCTTTAAAGAGGACCCGTCTGTGCGTAAATTTACCTCAAACACCACTCCAGACACGTCCGCCCCATCTGTCCGTTTACCCCAGCTTACCTATCTTGATCCCGAAGGACCTTCCCAAATCTTTTTTCCCAGAAGCCAGCCCTAACTGTCTGATTCACTGAAGAAATAATAGAGGGGATTACACTTACCAAATTCCTACTTAGACTCTTAAAGCTGTGCCACTTACAATGATGAGGCTATGTGTGGTGTGTTATATACATGTTACATATTTTATTTATCTTCACAATCTGTTATTGCTCCCATTATTGGAAATGGTTAAAAAAAAAATCACAGTTTGAGTTTAAGATTTTGCCTAAATTTCCAAAGTTCAAAAAAATGCACAGTATTTAAGTTTTCATTGCAACAGATTTCTGAAGTTGTTGTAAGAAGCAGTCTGTCCTTCACTAATTCAAGCTATAAAAGAAGACTGGGGTGGGGACAACAGACGGACGGACGGACTTGACAGTCCCTTCCATTTCGATACTGACACAGATTTCTCTTTTTTCCAAGGGCAGCAGGTTTTTGTTGTTTTAACCTGAAACAAATGCATGGCTCGAGCCTGACAAAGAGGAAAGGAACAGAAGAGGCGTTTCTGAAATTTATCAGTTTGCCTTCCCACCGCGACTTTAATCAGCTCGCGGGTCAGGACCGAGAGATGGTGATTTCACTGAGAGGTAGAAAGGCTCTACTCCACTCTGCTGGCTTCCTGCACACAGGGAGGTGATTATTTGGAGCCAGTGAGGGGCGCTAAGAGGTTTCCCTTTCATTAAAGTCTCCACCTTGTCCACTCTGAGCATAATGCGAAATGGTCACTGCTGCCCTGGTAGCTTTACTTGGAGTCAGATTTAATAATGGGGAGGAGATGTTACAGGTAATTAGAACTTATGTAAATCTACTGTCAATCACCAGTGCCCACAAGATTAATAGAGGGTTGGGTACAAGTATATAAAGTGTCCAAGAGTTGCTTTCCTTTTGGAGCTTAGCTTAATTTGCTTAAAAAAAAAATTAAGGGGCTCTTGACTGGTAGAATGTAGACTCTAAGAAGATGGAGAACGCACCCAAGAATGCAAGGTGCAGGGCTGGGGAAGCTACTGTGCCTATGTGGATTCTTTAGGTTTTATCCAGCTTCAAAGTAGCGAGGTTCAGACCACAGCCCTCGCTGCCCTGATTAGGATGCTCTTGGCTAAGAGTAGCTAATCCACTCCAGAGGAAGCTCTGGCAGTAAAGGGATAAAGAGTAATTAAGAGACGTGACGACGGCAGGATAATTAGAATTTCAAAGGGAGAAGATAACAAGCAAAAATTCACAGAGACCTACTTGCTCTTGTGGACAAGGCTCCAGAGCTGCTTAGAATGGACTAAACCTTCTTCAGCTTGCATATACCTTTATTCCTTTCTCTCCCATTTCCACTTACGACTAAAAGCAAATATATTTTAGTTTTAATTTTAAAAAAGTGATCTTCTGTTCCCATAGCTCTTTCCATTTTTAATTATACCTTTCTTTTTAGTTTATTCTAATCACAAAATCAATACAGACTTCTGGAATTAGAACACAGATATTAGGCTGACAAAACTAAAATCACCCAAAGTCCTGGATCTGAATGGCAGTGCACTTCCCTACAGGTTGTAAGCGATGGATGGGCAATCCTGTGCACACACACTCTTTCCCTGCCCACTTGCCATCCCCTTTTCCCAGTTAACATGTGCCAGGGCTTGGAAGAGATGCGTCTACACCAACCACCACCAACAGATGGCGATCTTGGTTGATATGTTATCTGAACACATTGGTCATTTCAAGTTTAAGGTACTACTTGGCCCTGTTCATGCTAGACTTGGGGTACACTATGGACACTATTAAAGCTGTAAAAGCAATGAGCATATTAAACAACAGTTACAAGTAATGTGTGCTTATAATGTTAACAAAAAATATGCATTACATTTGAGAAAGCCAAATACTGCTCATGAATACAGGAGAATGGCTTTTATGTTTACTTTAAACTCAGGAATGCTCCTTAAGAACAATGAGAGATGAGGTGACGATATAGATAACAGACAGCAAGAAGGACAGGTAGTATGGAGTGAGGAAAAACTAAGAAAAATTCAAAACATTGAAGCTGATGACTTAGTGAGTTAAATCGGGTCAGGGCATCAAAGACATTATATTAATACAGCTTTGACATCATGGCATGGGCTGTTGAGTGATGGACTCATAATTTAATCTTCCCAACAACCGATTCCTCTTGAGTAGTTGGTATATAACTTTTACTCTGTAAATGCGAAACTTAGGAACAGACTGAGTCCACTCAGGGCTACACAGCTAATAAGTAGCGAAGATCCAGGGCAGGAAGTTTGCTTTGGAGTTTAAAGGCCATGTGTGTTGACAATTACAGAAACGTGGGTCACCAACCACAGATAGATTCTAAGCAATTCCACTTTTGAGTTGCATGCTTTCGATGAGTAAAGGGCAGACTGTCACCACTAATGTCTCTGGGACAGACGCTGATGACATTCAGAAAGAGGTCACGCTGGCCTACCTTGGGATAAAACATCCAATAAAATATATCAAGGAGAGGAAGGACAACTAATCTCAAAGTTTACAAGAAATAATTCATGGATCAATCCCATGGGAGCAAATCTGGGGACTGTCAATCAAACACATTCTTGTTATTTTGGAATTGTTAGGGAAAAAAAAAACTCATATACAAATACAAACTTATTGTACTTGGGAGGTAGAAGTAGATGGATCTCTGAGTTCGAAGGTGGCCTCAATCTTTTACAAATTGAGTTACAGGACAGTCAGGGCTACACGGATTTGTGTTTGTTTGTTTGTCTCAAAAAAAAAAAAAAATAAGAGGCTGGAGAGATGGCCCAGCAGTTAAGAGCACTGACTGCTCTTCCCGAGGACCCAGGTTCAATTCCCAGCACCCACATGGCAGCTCACAACTGTCTGAAAATCCAGTTCCAGGGGATCTGACACCTTCACACCAATGCACATAAAATAATTAAATAAACCATAAAAAAATTAAAAACAAAACAAAACAGAAAACAAAACCAAACTTATCGTCACGCTCAGACCTTCCGAGTACACACCTACAGCTAATGCCTGCCCCCCACAACCATAACCTCACTCCTACCCTGACGGGCACAGGATGATGCTGAAGATGGGAGTTTTCTAGCTCACCCTTTCTGTTACTTTGTTTTGCCAAGGGCCTCTCAAGAAAGGGGGATTTCCTAAGATTTGCTTTAGCTCATCAAACTTTGTGCTTGGACGGAGGAAGAAAAACAGGGTCCCATCGACATCTGTTCAACAGCACAGTCTGTTAGTAAGCAAGGAGGAGTGATTTGCCCACTGCCCCAAATAATTGAATTGGTTAATATTTTCTCTATTTAGCAAAGGAAATAGTAGGATTTAAAGATGAGGTACGAGATGTGAAAATTTTCAGTTAGGTAATCAAGTTCAAACAGCTTTTCTAAGACTTTATGTTTCATGCCGACAATGTTCATGGTTTTCAGAAAAGTGGTCTAGGACATGAAAATATTAAGCATGTATAAAGACATTTCATTTTTTTTAGCCAAACTCCGATAATCACCTCATCTGTGTGTGCTGTATGGTTCCGAGGGGTGGCGGTGTATATGCAGCACAGGGACCTGGGTCTTACACAACCGGAGACAAAGCCAGAGTTTCCAGAAGAAAAACGCTTGGCAAGAAAAGCAACTGCAGACCTGAAGGTCAGCCGCAACTGAAGCCCTGGTGCGGAAGGCCAGCCGATCACAGGAAAGACTAGCATAGCACCAAAGGAGAGATCAGATCAAGAATGCAACTCACCGGTATTCATAGCATGCCCCAGTGTGACCTTCACCACGCAAGGCCTATGAAAAATGTATAAGGTGCCAGATTAACTAAGAAGGGGACAGCCCTTTGAGGGCTGGGAGGACTTTTCAGGACAAAACCACCTCAGGACTAAAATAAAAACCCAAGATCTTGTCTGCAGAATCCTAAACAAAGAAGGCGTAAGTACAGAAGGAACGTCAGGCTCAGCATGTCAGCCTTTGGGGAGCACAGAAATCCAGGAGCAGCCTATGAAGAACCATGAACACAGAACATGTTTCCGGCAAGCCCGTCAGAGAACAACAGAAATCAAGGGCGGGAAGGTCCTGGAGTGGCCTGCCTTCCAGAGATCTTGGTTGCAGACTTTTCAACTCTAGAATTATAGGCAAAAGCAAGATTTTAGCAAGATTCATGGAAGACTTTATGCCCGAGATTAGCAAGGAGAGCCATGTCTTTAATTCGCTTTGTATGCTTAAAAATTAGTATGGACGACTGATGAGAGCTGGGGGTTTCCGGAGGCCAGCAGAGACTTAAGACAAATGGCTTCTCTGGAGGAGCCTTAAATGCTCAATTAAACTTCTGAGAAAAACAGTCCCAGGTGTCTGCTGGGAGAGCCAGGGGCCTGTCATGAATTCAGAAGACGGAGAAGGAGACCCTCAAGCTCATGTTTCTGAACTGGAGAAGTCAGAGGTTTCAGCCCAGAGCCTGCATGCTGGGATGAATTGCAGAATTCAGCGCATCGTCGTGTGGTCTCAGGGGCAACTAGCCTGGCTGTCTTGCAGCCAGTGAGCCGACGGGAGACATCACAGAGATTCTGGGACCAACGGCCATGCCACACTTACTCTTCAAGAGGTAACAAAGACCACAGAGCTACACACCTGTTTCTTCTCAACACCAAAAGATCAATACATCCTATACATTCAAATGAAATCAGTCGTTTTCCATAAACTTTCCTCCATGAAACCAGTACTGATCACAACATATTCAGCTGGAAATAAAGAAGTGTATAGAAACACTAAATTATCTTGTTAAAGAACAGTAAAGATACTCACGGGCAAGGGGGATATTCTGTAAAATATGTACAGCCTCTCTTCTAAATAAAAAGTATTATAGAGACTTGGATTTACAGCATGGATTTATTGCTGCAGTTTAGAGCAAATTCTATCACATTTTGCAACCAAGCTCAAGCAGCTTCTCAAGAGCACACAGCACACCAATGCTCACATACATCCCGACACTCTTTACATAAGTCACTACACCGCAGCTCTCTTCAGTTACAGACGCTTGGACCCAAATTACTGTTCCCAAATACTGTATTAGGGAGATGTACTATATGCTGGCAATAGAACCAAGGATGGTTTCCAAGTGTATGTCATGCAACTGATCTCAAAGTCTCATACACTGATTAATATGCAAGCCATGAAGCAAAGACAACTTGACTCTAGAAGGTAATCTTTTATCTCTGGATTGATATACCTATCATGATTATTTTTTTAAACTGTTTTCTTCTCCCACTAAAATCTATAATGTATTTCTTCTGCTGCCTTGATAGTCTCACCTTATATAGTAATTTACTATAAGGAAAATTTGGCTATAACAAACAGAAGGCCTCAAGTTTTAATACAGCCAATGACCAGCTCTGGGACATTCTTGGTATCCTCCTCTATAAAAAAAGCCAACAATAGCTACCACACAGAAGACTGAGTTTGGTCCATAACGGCTTTTCCTCACCCTCCTCTCCAAATAAGGATACCAATGACAACAACCTAGAGTGCTTTCTTACCAAAATATTAATGTGACCTTATATTGCAATATGTTGAGAAAGAACAGACCCGCCATTTTTGTTACTTTTAAAGCAGTTTTCTTTGCATATTACACATAAGTACTCAACATATGTTGGTTGAATACATAAAACATAAACAGGCAATATAATTTTTTCCCCAATGAAAGTTTACTTGGTACCAAAGAGAAAGAAGTGTGTGCGTGTGAAGGAATTGACAAAGATAGACGAGAACTCCTGTATGTTGTCTTGGAAAATAGATATGGGTGGAATTTTATCCGAATTTAGCTTATAGGATCATAGGAATGAAAGCAATTTAGGAGTTTAACATGAAATACAAAATTAGTAACAAAAAGAAAATTACAGAGTTGGGGCCTGGGAGAAGCTCTAATACAATATACTTAAAAAAAAATAAAGCAAAGTCGAAAATCTTAAGAGACATAGACACACACACACACACACACACACACACACACACACACAGACGCATGCACGCAACCAGTCAGAGGCTACAGAAACTGGATGTTCACAACTCCAGCACTGAAAGCCAAAAATGACCAAGTCATTCAAAGCAGGGCAGAAGGACAGAGGCCTAAGGCAAGCATGTTTTCTGAAACCCTCAGAACAGAATGCAAAACTATTTCAACGTAACTGACTCTGCCACAAGCCAAAAGCATTGGAGTCAAACTGGATGTTTCTTGGACTTACACTCAAGTTGGCTGTGACACAAAATGGGGCATCAGTATATTGATTACCAAATACGCTTCATTCTTTGTGAGGACAGCAATGTTCCACTGGCCCGCAGTCCAGTGGCACCAGGCTGAGAAGAGACTGAAGAGGGAAACAGCATCTACCTTCCTTATTTCACTTCTTACAAATGTGGAGAGACTACGGTATAAACCCATCACGGTGAAGGGCACACTTGGTCTATATAAGGGTACACCAGCCAGCAGCCCGACATCTTTAAATTTACTCAGCTCAAAAGGTCACTTGTGACAACAGTTGCAGCTCCAAGAGCAGAGCTGAAGGAGAGGGATAAATAAGGCTCCCATATTGATTACCTACAGGTTTGTCCCTGAACCACACTGTCCTTAGATGCTGCAGATAAAGATGAGCCAGCATTTCAAAGACACAGGAGTGGAGATGCGAGGGCTCCGAAGCTTGCACCATAAGAAAGGCAGAGAGAAATTAGCTTTGTATGAAAGAACGCAGTGGAAGCGGAGCGGATGCTCTAACATGACTTCCATGTCAGTTCCACTCAATTGCCACAACCTAAATGAAGGCGCTAGGCTCATACTCTCTGTACCCAGATTCACGGCATTTTCCCTTAGGTGTTTTGGTTGTACATGGCAAGGGACAGGGCTATATGTAACAACGATTTGGTAAATGCTTATCTACTGTTTGACCCAGTCATAAGAACTTCCCCAGTCTCTCTTGGTTGTTTTGCAGAATGTTGTGTAACAGAACAGGTAAGCATGGGCTGTAAAATGCGAGATTCTTTGAAAGAACAAATAACTCCCGAGATGCCAGACATAAGGAGCTGGGGAAGGGAAAAACTGACCGAAAGCCAAGTTCTGAAAAACTAGAGAGACTTGGGGAAACATCAAGCACCCATATGTGGCTGTTTCCTCCAAATGGGAATACTCCTTCCTGGAGGGAGGACGCAGCCCCTAAGACTCAAAGCTAAGGAAACTCGGCACTCACAAGGCCACCCCACAAGGCTGTACAGGCAGTGCTTACTGCCTGTACTTGGAAGTGAGGCCACGCCATAGCGGATCTGCCTGTAAACTGTTCAGGAGCACCAGGAGCAACTTGCAATGTTTTGTTTCGTCAGCCATACTGGGGTGGGATCTTTGATGATGCTTCTTCTGTAAATGACCTCAGTAAACCTAATGGTCCCTCGGTGTGTCATCTGTGCCCTCTCTTGGGTAGAAAGGCATGTGCTCGTGTCTCCCTGGAAAACTCACACAACCAGTGAACACCTTAACAGCCCAGCCATGTGCACAGGATGCTGACTCTATTCGGGAAGTGGTGAGAAAGAGGGGGATGCTTTATTTGCACTAAATACACAGAAATTATGTGCTTGCGAGTCACGTGATGAGACCAGGAAAGGTGAAATTTGGCGGAGAAGCGGCTAACTCATGGAACCAGTGTTTGGTTCACATGGAGAAAAGCCTCTAAGGGACATCCCTAAAGGCCTGGTCCTCAGTCAGCATGTCTAAAAAAAAAAAAAAATGAAAACAGAAAAAAACAAAAACTGTGCCCTATACATCAGGTGACTGGTGGCACACTCTCATATGTATAGATGTCCCAGAGCTAGATGGGAGGGGAAGATGTCAGAATACTCCAAAATCTCTAACAAACTATAATTAATACTATGCTAATGTTGACACAGTAACACTCAAGAGAGAAGAATAATTCATCCACAAGTTCTGAAGTGGCAAAAATCAACCTACAAACCCTTGGCTTATGCACACGAACAACCCTGGGTTTTCGATAGGGATATGTCGTAGTCTCTAAATAGCTACAACTTAGGCTGCACGGACTCTGATTATAAAAGCTATTGAATTTTAACCGTTATCGAATGAAGCTGCTACCAAAAGCTATGTCAAAGTCCTAAGTCCTCTGCATGTTATCTTTTGAAACAGGGTCCTCTTTGCAGATGTAATCAAGACAAGATACGCTCCCCTCCCGGGGGCTGTAGTCAAGTAAGACTGATACCCCTTTTTAGAGGAAAACCAATGCATAAAAAAGGCAGAGGCGGCTAAGCAATGACGCAGGTCGCGGAGGGCAGGATGCTGTTCAGGCTAGCAGCACTAAGAACTGTCAATCACCATATGTCACAGCTAGGAAAAGACAAGAGAGGCCTCTCCTGGGCATGGCCCTCCTGACACATTAAGCACAGACTTCTACCTTCCAGAACTGGAGGATAATGGACATTTGTTGTTTTAAGCTCCTCAGTGTGTGGCACCTGGTTGTGGCAGCCAAACAGAAAAAAACATAGCTTTAGCCTAAGTATGTATTTCTTTATAGGTCTTTGAACCCGTTCTGCTCAATCTTCATTTTCTGCTCCGTAACAAAATACCTCACGTGGTAAACGCACTGTCATTCCGCGGGACTCAACAGCACTTCCCCAGAGCAAGCCTCTCCTGACCTCTGCAGAATGAGCTAGACACTGCCTCTGCATTGTGCCCACGAAAGCCTATCACAACAGTGCCCTGGAGCAGCATCCTCAACCACACCACGCTCCCTGCGTGGCTCTATCCTAACCAGGCTTGCAACCTTGGACGATTTGTTTACCACTTTGAGCATGGGGCTTCAGCATGGTGTCTGGTAAATAATGAACATTCGATATTAAGGAGGAGAAGAGTGGAGAAGCAGTACTTATAGCCTGTTCTGACTGAGTACTTCACGTCTGAACATAATTATTCTGAATGCTTCCGAGAACCTGGTTGCGGGTGGAAAGTGAAATGTCCCATATAGGCTCTGAACTGGAAGGTTTGGACCCCGGTTGGTAGTGATGCTTCGGGAGGTTGAAGAACCTTCAGGAAGCAAAGCCCCTCTGGAGGAAGTGAGTCATTAGGGTGGGCCTTTAAGTTTTATAGTTTGGCCTACTACATGTCTACTCTCGGCTTCCTGATCTACCCAGCCAGGAGCAAGCAGCCTCATGCTCTGGCCCCTGCAGTTTGAGAGCTGTTCTGCTCCTTCCACGGTGACCTGCATTCTCACAGGGTGAGCCACAGCAACAAGGAGGGCGATATATTAATCTTACAAGCACTTGCAAAAGGGTAAACACCATGTATGAAGCTCCAGAGCCTTATCTAGAGCAAGCCACAGATGCAGGCCTCCTGGGCACTGACCTGGGAGAGGAGACTATGGGAAAGAGAGGCCATTTTCCATGGGAAACAGTGGGGAGTCTGCTTGAAGTGTTTCTAGGGTGAGTCAGGTGACTTCCTGGTGCAGGGTGGGGGGTACACAGTCCTTTACAAACTGACCTAAGAGGGGTTCCATGGTCACCAGTGATAACCCAAAAAGTAAGTGCAAAGAAGTTTCCCGACAGCCAAATTTATTCTGTGATTCTGACCTTTCTTGAAAATTCTCACAGGCCTCAGTTTGTTCTAACATTACATAAAACTTCAAGTCTACCTGAGGCTAACCATTTTTGTTTACCTTACTAACAGATAAATTTTTAAAAAAAATCTGGACATATTTTGTGTTGGGGAGCAAGAATCGAGTTTTCCTGCTCTGAGAGTGGAGCTAGATAGATCAACAGAATTGATGCCAATAACAAGGGTTACTTATATAGATGACTGAGTGAAAAATGCAGGCTCAATAATTCCCTTTAGAAATCACCCTTGACAGGACTGACTTTGTGTATATTTCACCTTCAAATCAAAACGAAAATAGAGCTCAATAAAATTCTATAAAATTGTCTACGAACCGAGCAGGCCACAAACAAAAGAATTCACATGTGAACATCAAGATAGCAGCAAGAAGGCTTGCCGTGTTCCCGTCGCTCCAGAGGAGGCTGCTGTGGGCACTTATCAGCAATGGTGTTTCCTTGCACTTCCTGTCACCACCCTGCTGAAGCAGCAGAGCGGCCTGCTCCTGAGCTTCCTTCTTCCTTGGCTGCTTTGTTTAGACTTCATGCTTGAAAAAGGTGAAGAAGGAAAGAGACCAGAAGGATGGCTCAGTGGGCAGAGCACTGCCCCGCAACCTAATGAATGGGGTTTGATCCCTGGAACCCACAGAAGGCGAAGGGTCGAGAACCGGCCCTCACAAAGGTGTCTTCTGACACGTGTCATGGAGTGTGCTAGCATACACACACACACACACGCACACACACACACATATGCAAGAATAAAAACTAGAATTAAAGAAACTTAATGAAAGTAAAATGTATACCAACATGAGGGAAGTGTTTCATGGACCCCGAGAAGGCCCCTTAGACTCTGGGGGAGATAGGACTAGTTTTCAAAAGCGAGCACAAACATCA